CCCCTCCCCTGCCTTTCATGAGGGAATGTTTCCATTTGGAGAAACTAACTATACAAGGTTAATGATGGTGGCTAAGAATTATTGTAAATACACTGTTATACTGATAAATATCTCTCCTTTTAAGTGATGTATATAGATCATTCTCTCCTGTGCTGTGATGTCTAGGAGATGGAGGTGGGCAGGTGCCCCTATCCTTGTGAGAAAATCGGGGCTGATACACCTCAGGCAGAAGGCTATTGCTAAGCTTGTAGTTTAAAGGTTAGAAAAGAAGAAAGGGGCTGGAGGGATGACTCAGCGGTTGGACCCAGGTTTGATTCCCGTACCCACATGGTGGCTAACAACCCTCTGTAACTCCAGTTCCAGGGTATTTGATGCCCTTTTCTGACCTCCACGGGCATTGCACAACAAGGTGCACTTACATGCAGGCGTTACACTCATACACATAAAGTAAGAATACTAAAGTGTTTTAAAGAAAAAGGAGAGAGTACTTGGTGCACATTTGACTTCAAGGCAAACTCAGAAACATGCTCAGTGACACAAGTTAGACACAGAGACCCCACGAGGAAAACCAGGTAGAATTCCATGGACGGAAAATGTCCAGGGCTCAAAAACCATGGGAGGGAGTGTGGTGAGTGGCTGCCTGGGCTGGGATGGGGCCAGGGAGGGATCAAAGCTGGTGGGGGTCTTTCTGGGAACAAAGAAATGCTCTAAAAGTAGATTATGGCTGGAGCTGCCCAGCCCCGCTAAGTTACTGAACATCATTGACTGAAAACAGGCACACGATATGTAAATGATGTGATATGTAAATTTGACCTCAGTGAAATAAGTAAATTCTATGCAAAGTTAAAACAAGGAGGAGAGCCAAGAAGGTAAGAAAAGAAACAAGCAGGTTCTCTTGAGTCTTACAGCCTTGACTCAATCCCGTCTTGGCCACATGTTAGTTGAGTGACCTGGACTCTGATCCCCTCTGTGCCTCCCTGTCCCTACCGTGAGGAACAGCTGGTAACAGTCTTTACTCTTAGTGATGCAGTATTACAGGGACAGGCAACTTGACAGACAGTCTCTAGAGCATTGCAGGGGTTGCCACTGGCCTTTGTCATGATCAGCAGGGCCAGTCTCTGACAGCCCTGCATGTTAACGCTTCCGTCCCCAACCCCCCCAACCCCCACACTGTGTTTCTCTTGGGTTGTGCTATACACGGGGAGAGCCAGGCCCAGGGCTAGTGCGTGAGGTCAGGGTCCCTAAGGAGTTGACAGGGCTCCACAGTAGCCTGCTCCACAGACCTGTGGCTGTGGCGCCCCCTGGTGGCAGTCAGAATGAGCCTGCCCCAGTAAAAGCTGTCGCCTGCCCCTGTGCCTGCCTGGCGCCCACCTCTCCGTGTAGACCTGCCCCATCCCTGATCAGGTGAGGCCCCACACTGGGGCAGGTCATCTGCTTTACTCAGTCCACGGATTCTATCGTTAATCTCATCCAAAATCCCCTCTGATGGTGGCCCCTAAATATCGGGGCAGCCGTGACCCAATCAAATCAATGCATGAAATTCAGCATCATGCTTGGTCCAAGAAAGGTAAAAGGGAGACAAAAATTGCCAATATCCTTCCATAAAAGCTTGATAGAAAAAGTTACTGGAATTCAGTGCTATCCAGGGTGGGTTTCCTGACCTAGAAAAACAATGTACAAAGGGAGCAGCGGCCCTAGAAGCAGAGAGAAGTACAGCCCTACTCTGGAAGCAAGTTCCTGGATGAGAGTGCAGCTCTGGGTGTGCTGTCCCATTCTACACCCTGACATCCCAGGGAAACCCACATACACAGAAAAGACAAGCCAGGTTCTGAGCACACCTCTGCTGTATTCGTCACACTAAATGCTTTACAGGCAGCAATACATGCATGTCATCAGCACTGGCCTGCAGCCTAGGACATCCCACACCGGCCCAAGGATGGTGAGCTCTGTGCCAGATGCCCAAGGCCCTCAAGAGCAGCCCTGACTTCCTTCCCTACACAGCCCTGACTTCCTTCCCTGCTCCAATCAGTTGGCTGTTTAGAGACACCTGGAAAGCTGCCAGGCTGTACCTGTGCATATCTTGGAGCCCAGAGGGCAGAGTGTCCGTTACCCCACAGTAGGATCAGGACCTGCTGGAGCTCTGACAGACCCACACATGGCTCTTGGGTCTCCCACAGGGCGGCATCACTGTTCAAATCTAGGGCTTTCCAGTTCATTTGAAAACAAGATTTATTGGTTTAGACCGTTATCATGGACAGGAAGAGTTACTTTCAGGAAGAGAGAGATGTCACATGACCTCAACAGTGAGAAGAGAGCCAAATATGAAACTTAGACCTGTTAAACCTCTTCCGGGCCTCAGTGTGCTTAGCAACAGTCACAGTCCCACCACCCAGAGCCACACAAGCCTCAAGTGGCACAGTGCTGACAACTTCGTTGCCCTACAACTTGGGAGGGGACCCCAAGTGTTCTTTAAAAGATCACCTGGCCCCGGAAAGCCCGAAGGTTGGGACATTGCCAAAATGGGCCAGAACAACAGGAAATGACTTCCTTTCATCGTTGGCCAAAATGAATTCAATATTCCTTGTAACAGACAAAGAATTCGATATTAACATGTTCCATTTATATAAGAAAATATTGTCTATAATATGATAGAATTCCTAAAAGTGACTGTGTAAAGGAACACATGGTAGGAAACTGGTGAAGACTGTAAACAGGCAAAGTAAAAGTATCTAACTCCGTTTCACTAATCATGCAAAGGTGGGCCCCTGGGAGACATCCTTCAACCCATAGGCCAACCCACCTAGGACTTCTGTCATCCCTAAACCTTGCCCCTATGTAATCCCCATGTCTGTCACTATAGTCTATTTCCCAGGGCCATGGACATAGAAGCTGGTCCTTCATGCCCATGATGTATGTGCCCAGGAGAGTGATGGGAGGGCCCAGATGTTCCCCTCTCTGTGACAATGGACCCCATGGGCCAGCCAGTTTAGTCATTGCCTGACTAGAGGCTGACCCCGAGCCTGACGTCTGGACAATGCAGAAGTGGGTAGTTTCGCCATGGTCACACCCTGAGAGTGGACAGTGTGCATTCCTGGAATGGAGGAGGGGGACTGCCCATGCTTCCTGATGGCCTTTGGCCTAGAAGGGATGAAGTCAAGTCAGCGTACCCTGAGTAGTGGGACTCCCTGGGAGTCAGCTCTGCCCTTCAGTGTCAGGCAGCTCTCTGCAGCCCAGCCTAGAGTTTGCTCCAGAGTGTGGCCCAGGGTGTGGTGCTCTCTGGAGCTGCAGACATGGAAGCCTCTGGCCAGGCCTCTCCTGCAGGGCCTTGGCTGGGCAGCGGGCAGGTTGTGCTGGACAAAGAGATCAGGGCAGCCATTCAGCCGTTCGGCTAGCTGCAACGTGACCTTGTGTGTGGTGGGAACCAGCTCTTTTGGGCCAGTGCCACACACGGGTGCTGTGGGTCACAGCCTCCAGATTAGATGAATGGGTGTAGGAAGACAACAGCCAGACTTTAGAGTCCTCCCCAGGGCCCTAGAAGGGCCAGTTTAGCTCATGGAAGGAAGAACAGGGAGCCCCACTCAGCTCAGAAATGATGCTTGACACTTACAAAACTTGAAAGGACAGAAGTCCAGCCATTGCCCTCCATGGATTCCCACAGGGGACCTGCTCCCAGCCCTTCTGGACATCCAGGAGAGGAGCCAAGCTGGCCAACTGAGTAGGGGAATCTTTGGTGGAGCTCTTGGGGTGGGACCTTCATAGACAGAAGGGACCATCCTAACAGGTTGGGAGAGTGAGTGGGTTGCGGATCACAGAGTCACCAAGGCCTGTTGGAATGTGAGCCTTGTGATGCATGGGCAGGTGTTGAGCAGCCAGACTGCCATTGTGGGTCCAGGAATGCCTGTCTAGGAGGAAGGTGGAGCTGGAAGGTGGAACTGGCAGGTGTACCGGATGGGTAAGCAAGGGAGGTTCCTCGAAGTCATTTTCTGCCCTCCTGACCCTGAACCTGTGACATAGGGAGCTCGTGGCCCTCAAAAACCAGGTCACAGGCTGCTTGTTCCTCAAGGGCTATGCCCAACCCTGGGGCCAGCCTGCATCCTTGTGCCTGGAGCTGCTGCCCTGATGGCCTTGGACAGAAGAGCTGCAGACTGCCACCCCCCCCCCCACCACCTTCAGCTCCTCATTTTGGGGAGGTGTAGGGACAGAGGTACCTGGAGAAACAGCTGACCAGGTGGGCACACGGGGTCTGGGGAGCCCACTCCTCGGTCCCATATCAAGTCATACTACCACACTGCTCTGTCCTAGTCTCTTCCTCTATGTCTAAAGCAACAGCAAATTTCACCGATTTGTCAGTCACCATACCATGCCCCGGACCGAGGGTGGAGTCATTTTACCAGCTATGACATGGAGTTCTGGGGTCCAGGGAGACTGGCTGATAGGGGAGACTTTGCAGACTGTCCTGTGTAGTGTGTTGTGGGAATCCTACGTTGGTGCAGCATCCTGATGGGGCCTCTCTGCTCTCCTACCCGCCCACCCACAGGCCCCCCAGACCCCCGTGCCTCCCAGCCGCTGCTTACCTGGCTGCTGCCGCCCCTGCTGCTCCTCCTCCTGTTCCTCCTCGCCGCCTACTTCTTCAGGTAGGAGTGTCCCCTGGTGCTGACGTGCCCTGACCAGCTCTGATTGAGGAAATGGGTGTGCTGGAGGCTGGGGGCGTGGGCTCACAGGTCCATCCAGACTCAGGCAGATCAGAGAGCTGGGTGAGCTGAGTGCAACTCGGCCATGAGCAGCAGGAAGAGCTTTTCCAGGCTCACCTGGTGGGTATCGCAGCTCTCGGGACTCAGGGTCCCCAGTGTTCTCAGACCTAATGCGTCTTGTGCCTCTAAGGTTCAGGAAGCAGAGGAAAGCGGTGGTCAGCAACGACGACAAGAAGATGCCCAACGGGATCCTTGAAGAGCAAGGTGTGGCGTGCTGGGGCTGGGGCTCGTCTCCTTGGGGTGGGTCTCATCGGGTGCTGCTCCGCTGTCTTTCCTGACATTTGAAGTGCTAGGAGCCATTTGCTAGTAGCTGTGGAATTTCTGTCTCAAAACGTTGCGTCAGAGATCATTTTTCCTTCAGAGTGGAGCGGATGTCTGAGACTGTTCAGTTTGTGGGTTTTATTATTTTTTTTAGAGAGACCACTCATATCCTGTTCCTTTAGCCCGGCTTTGCCATCTAACATTTTTCAATGAGGCCTTTGAAATCATTCTATAGTAAGACTCTAACTCGTGATAAAAAGTGTTCGACTGTCACTGTGCTGCCTTGGGATCCAGCTGGTCGGAAGGAAACTGCTCTACCAGAGCACATCACTGGGGAAGAGTAGAGTCAGAGGCCATACCTGACCGTTAGATTCCAGCCCCGTTCTAACTCGCAAATGCTGCCAACAAAGGCATGTTGTTATTCTTTCTCTATGTTGAAATGAAGGACAAAGGTAGATAAAAGAAATACTTTAAGCGTGCGAGTTCTAGCTGAGTGTGGTGGTACAGACTTGTCATCCCAGCACTTGGGATCCTGAAGCATTCCAGGCCAGCCTGAGCTACATAGTAAGAGCCTGCCTGAGAAAACCAAGGACTGGCGATGTGGCTGGCGCTGCAGCACTTGGCTAGCATACCCAAGGTCCCCCATTCAGTCCTCAATATGGCAACTAAAACCGAAAGCACTGGTTCATACCAGTGACTATAGTTTCCTGTGAGCAATTTCCTACCTTGCTGTGCCTGACTTGGGGTAACATGCATGTCGTCAGACGTCAAGTGAAACCTTAGAACTGACTCAAGAGAGCAAGAAGACTTTCTGTCGCAGCCTCTAAGTGAGGGAGAATTTGAGCAACAGAGAAACCAGATGAACCTTGATACTGCAGACTTGGGGGACCCCGCACCCCTGCCTAGATGATCATATGGCCCCAGTGCTGCCTAAGCTTACTTGCTTCCTGCTCCTCTCCCTGCCCTGCACATTCAGGCAGCCAGCACAGAGGCAAGCGTGTGGCTGGGAGGGGCACAGAAGACTGCAGCTTGCACTGGCTCAGCGGCCTGACCCTAAGAAGAGGGAGTTTTAGAGCAAAGTTCTTGTGGGACCTCAACAGGCTAAGCGAGTGGGACAGGGCCCTGCAGGAATGCAGCTAAATTCTTGTGTTGACCTTGTCGAGTCAGCTCCCTCCTTAGGAAGAGAACTGACAGTCTCTGACACTGCTAGTGCCTCACTCTGAGCTTGTGGGAGTGACTTGTTCTCAGCTCACCCTATCCTTTGCAGAGTCCCCCTGCCCATCCCCAAGTTCTGCATTAGAACTTAAGGATTTGAGGAAGCAAGTCTATGTGTTACTACGGAGGCTGTGAGACAGAGGTCCTAGCGATTCCCATCTGTTCTGAGTTTACACAACCATGGCCCTGTAATTACTCTTCTCTGGTACCAGACCTGAGCCCTGGCTACAGCATGAAGCTGTAGTAGGTCTTGCATAGAGGAAACAGGCTGGTGGTAAGGATGAGTGACGGGTGAACCAGCAAGCAGGATCAGGAATATGGCATCTATAACAGACAGGGACGCTGCCAGCACTTGCCAAGAATAGGGTGTGTTGGGAGGCAGATTCTTGACTCAGTTATTCAAGGCTGGGTTAGCCCCAAGGTACGCGATTTGAGAGGATCGGTCCCCTCCCACTGTGCAATTCCATTAGGAATGCTGCTGGTCCCTCTGGCAAATGAGTCACCCACAGGCAGTGGGGCTGAGTGGATTCATGATTTCTCCTGACCCCACAGAGCAGCAGAGAGTGATGCTGCTAAGCAGGTCTCCGTCGGGCCCCAAGAAGTACTTCCCCATCCCTGTGGAGCACCTGGAGGAGGAGATCCGCGTGCGCTCAGCGGATGACTGCAAGCGCTTCCGTGAGGAGTTCAATGTGAGTGTGCCAGGTCCCCGGCACTGTGAGGTACAGTGGGACAGTCAAGGCCGGTGGCTTCAGGGACTGGGGAGACTCGTACCTCTTGATGCTGAGAAGTGGAGTTAGGGGAGCCTGGTCACCAGTGCAGCGCCCCTCACTGGCGCACGTTGATACTTACAAAGTAAGATGGCTGGGTGTGACGCTGGTGAGGGCTTCAGCCAGCTCAGACATTTAGCACCGTTGTGACACCAGTTGTAGCAAACACACCATTCTGTCCACTATGTGGAGTCTCATGCAGGTGAGATTTCATCCCAAAAGCCACAGTCCCCCAAGAATCCTTTCATTGTCCCCAAGACCTGGAACTTCTAATAGAATCACAAGTGCCCCCTCTGACTCACCATCATGGCACAATTCAGTAGTCATAGGGACTGTGCAGTGGACATGTTCAGTGAGTATGTGCCATTCCCCCACTTCTGTTGTTTAGGGGTGAATCACCCCACATACTCAGAGGAGTGCTGTCTCACTGGGACACGTCCCTGCTCCCTGACAGTTCTCACGATGGCTCAGAATGCTCAGCTCGAGACAGTGCAGAGGGGTGACCCTTCCCCTAGGGTTATCAAGTTCTTAATGTCTGTCCAATGGGGAGGGAGGGAGGGAGGGAGGGAGGGAGAGAGAGGGAGAGGAGATCCTGAGAGAGAGAGAGAGAGAGAGAGAGAGAGAGAGAGAGAGAAAGAAAAAAAAAAATACTGTCTTGGCTGCAGGACTCAGTGCTGCCCCTGCTGGTGGTTGGAGGGTTTATTACTGCTGCTTTTTGTCCCAGACTTCATCCCTGTGTAGGGCTGCGAGCTGAGTCTTGGGCCTGAGAGTGGGTGTCTGTGGATGGCTGCCTGGGACTGGCTCTGCTGTAGCATTTATCCCAAGCCACTTCCGCCGTCTGTGAAGGTGGCCTGGGGATGGAGTCTTGATGACAGCACAGGTGTGAGGCCTCAAGGATGAATTTTCTGAACAGCAGTGCGGAGTTGTTATTTCTCCAGGTGGCACAGGCAGCGTCGCAGGCCTGATCCCTCACCCAGAGCTGCCCAAGCTGGTGCAGAAAGGCAGCAGTACATTTAACCACACTTTGCTTAGCTTTTAGCACAGGCCGCCCTCGTTCGTTCGCCTTTGTTCCGCTTCCTTTTCTATTGTTTCCAAGCCTGTTTCCCTCTTTGTAGAAATTCGGTCATACTGAAAAACAGCCCCGAGCGCTGATTTTGCAATCCTCAGTTTGACAACAGAAGTTAATTCCCCATTTTTAACATCGCTCCCCTGCTCTTGCTGCTGAAAGCTCGTGCCTCCATTCTTGTTCTCTTCCCCTTCCACGTCTGCAGTCACATGTGGGGGTCACCAGCAATGGTGAACAAAATGACTCCATTACAGATATAGACAGGAGGAGGCCATGGAGCTCCCTGTCGCCCAGCCTCCCACATGGCTTCTGTCACCCATTGTAGAGCCTACCATTATAGTATTTGATAATGTTTTCATCATTATGAGTTATGTGCATTAAGTTTGTTTTTTAGAAAGGATATTGCTGAGCTAATGAGAGGCTCAGTGGGTAAAGCCACTTGCCACCAAGCCTGGCAACCTGAGTTCCATCCTAGGGACCCACAAGGTAGAAGGATAGAACCAACTACCACAAGTTGTCCTCTGACCCCCATACTCATGCCAGGGCCTACAACGCCTGTGCATATGTACACATGTGTGCTCACACACACATGAACAAATAAATAAGATGTATTTTTAAAAATTTAAAAAGAAAACATATGCTAGAAAACGTTACTTCAGAAGTTTGTTTCTGATGAATCTTAAGTTTTTCGGGAACTCTTTTAAATTTTGTACCCAGGGCAAATGCTTCCATCTCCTCAACCTCCCACCCACCTCTGTGTAGCCCTTGGCTGTGCATACAGTTCCCCTGTCTGGCAACAGGCAGTTAGAGATACAAGATGGGGCAGAGCTCTTTGGGCCTGGGCCCTCTGCTACTGGCTCCTCTCCAGTGATAAGGGGCCAGCCTGGTCTAAAGGTCACAGTCCTGGAGCATCCCTCTCCACCCAGACTGGACGCTCAAGGAACATGCCTAAGTTCTGCTCCCCCATCAGCCTGACGGCCTCTCCCTGCAGTCATAGAAAGGACCCATATGAACTTCAGCATGTGTTTGGACGTTTATGTACTGAGAAGCCAAGGATCAGGTGAACTTGAACTTGAGAAAAAGAAGGCATTTGATATTGGGTCAGCATCACAACTGAGTAAATGCTGGAGGTGGCCTGTCTGAGCATTTGCCCTAACCTGGAAAACTTGGACCATATCCTTAACCTCTGCCCCAGTTTTCCCAGTTGTGAAGTAGAAATTCTCCACCCCAAAGGACTAGGATGACATATAAATGAAGTGACAGGTAGCATATAGACAGGTGTTATGAGCATGGTGTCTGTGGGTTCCACCTGGATGGCAGATCTCCATCCTGTTCTCAGCCCTGAATTCAACCCCATCAAGGGAACCCCACCATGCAAGGAAAACCCCTCACTGGTGAGCATCTTCCCCACCTCTGTCCCAGCAAACTCTGTCAAGCCAGGTGCTGCCTGGTGTTAAGTATACTAGAAATATATGCAAAAGGAAGTATGGATAGCAGTCCCAGAAAAACAAGCAAACCAGAGCATCCCCTGGAGCTTGCTGGAGCAGGCCAGAGTGCCAAGAGAGTCACTTCAGGCTAACCAATTACCACAGAGCCATCCCAGGTGCTCTTGCTTCCCCAGGGCTACAAGGCAGCTAGGAGACCTAAGGCCCCGGGTCACCTGAAAACAGAACACTTTGGGCCCCGTCTGTGCAGGTGACTGTTGTGGTTGCTTGGATACAGAGCTTTGCTTGACTCTGCCCACCTTACCTAATCCTACCCTCTAGGAGTCCAGGGAGTTAAGCTGTACCTCCCCATCTCCATACCTCATATTTTGAAGCCACACCACTGACTTGGGGGCCAGATCTTGATCCTCCTTTGCAGTCAGGCCCCTCAGGCCACCTAAAGCTACTTTGTCTTCCAAAGAAGCCAGAGACTCCCATGACTTATTGTTATTTTTAATAACATTCAAAAATTTTGTGTGAGTGTTTGCCTTCATAGGTAAGTGTACCATGTGTGTACAGTGCCCACAGAGGCCAGAAGAGGGCATCAGATCTGCTGGAACTGGAATTATAAAAAGTTGTTAGCCACCATGTGGGTGCTAGGAGCTGAACCCTGGTCCTCCACAAGAGTAGTCAGTGCTTTTAACTGCTGATCCATCTCTTGGGCCCCAAACTTTATTTTTAGTGCACTTTCAAGTATGCAGAGAAATTACATACACTGCAGAGTTCCCATGCACCCTGTCTCTCCCCATCCAGTAGATTCCTCTGTTAGGGACCTCCTGCTGGTGTGGTGCATTTGTTACAACTGATAACTGCTATTGATACGGTGTTACCACCAATCCCTTGGGATCTCTGGTTTTTCTGTGGGGTTTGCCAGCTGCACAGCCTCACGTGCTGCTGTGACAGCATCATGCCTGGTTTTTATGTCCAGGGCTAAAATCAAAAACATTTTTGAGAGCAGACAAAGAGAAGGCCCTAGGTGTCACCACAAATTCAGTGTCTAGATGGAGTCAAGGAGGAGGAGTTAAGCTACTGATGGTAAATCAGATCTCAAGGAGCACAAGTGTTGGTGGCTGGGAACAAAGTCCAGAACTGCCTTGAGGTGCCCCCACCCCTATAGCTGGTCCCTTCATACTGGCTGTGGCAGGGCCTGTGCCTGTGGCCATTGGATGTGGTGGCCTTGGAAGAGAGGAGAGAGGAGAGAATATCCTTATGTGAGCCCATCTAAGCAACTGAGTCAGTCATTGGAGAAGTGTCTCCCTGGGAAGGGGAGGTCAGGGTCTGGATCCCAAATGAGAGCAAGCTTGGGGCTGTGGGACAATGATCTGAGGCTGCCCTGTGAGGCCAACGCCAGGCTCCTTGGGACCTAGAGTAGAGCACAGAGAAGTCTTCATTCTTCCCACACTTGAGGAATGGATCCCTCTGGGCCAAACTACCAGGATCTGTCTCCCAGCCCAGTGACCCTGAACAGAGCTCCAGTCATGTTTCCCTGGGCCTCAGATGCCTCATCCCTAAAACAAGCTGTTCCCATGTCACCTGATCATAGGTGAGTTGTGATAGGAGGTCAGATGAGCCAGGACTTCCCCTGTGCCTGATACATTACCAACTCTCAGTAGATGCTAGTGCTTCTTCCTTGGATGCCCCCATCCCACATCCCCAAGCCTAGCCAGTGTCAGGTTTAATATTGAAGGACATGATTCGGGGCTCGGAGTGCTCTTGACCCTGGTTCACTTGAGCATGGAGAGCGAGGGGGCTCAGCACGGAGCAAACAGCAGGCAGCTGGCGGTCACCAAGAATGAGAGGCGGGGGCTCAGGTGATAGAAGGAACTAGAAACCCACACATCCACTTTATGCCCAGCTGTGCTACTTCCTGGCTCTCTTCGCATCTTGAACAGTAAAGCTGCTGTCTCACACTGCCGCTCCTCAGCTAGGGTACAGCGTCGTTAGGGTGCTGCGTCTTGAGTCCCAGGGAGCTCAAATCCCTGGAGCTCAAATCCCTGGGGTCCTGGTGATGCAGGTGATGATTCTGTGGGCCTGGGCAGGACTGGGAGATGTAGAATTTCCAATGAGCTCCCAGGTGGTTGTTGTTGTTGTTGTTTTGTTGTTGTTCTTCTTCTTCTTTTTCTTCTTATTATTATTTTAAGATATTTTGTGTTACATTCTGGGTTTTAAAAGTATTTTATTTTTTGAATTCTTATTTTTATTTTGTGTGTATGAGTATTCTGGCTGCATGTATGTAAGTGTACCTATGCTATGCAATGCTCATGGAGGCCAGAAGAGGATATCAGATTCCCCTGGAACTGGACTTAGGGGTGGTCATTAACTACCATGTGAGTGCTGGGAACTGAACTTATGTCCTCTGCAATAACAGCCAGTGCTCTTAACCACCAAGCCATGTCTCCAACCCCGAGCTCTCAGATCTGACAGTGCTCATCCAAACTAAAAAGACATCTGCATCCTCAGCAAAGTTGGGGCTGTGTCTACATCACCCCACAGGGTGCTGCTCCCCCCCTACAGCCCAGCCCCAAGGCTGCACCCTGGCTTCCACAGTTGTCTCCTCCTCTGTCTTCTGCATCAGAACTCCTTCAGGACCAATCCATCCCTGCCTGGGGAGTGTCTGCCTGGGCCAAAACTTGTGTGGCCTGGGACATGGTGGGCTGTGGTGTGAGCAAGTCCCTGACCTCACAAAGCATAGGCTCCAACCGATAGGCCCTCTGTTGGCCTCACTAGACAGAAGGCCCTGCGGGAAGCTCAGACGTGTTTGTTCATTCTCTGCCCCACACCTGGCTTAGGGCCCAAGGCAGAGTGATGGATGATGAAAGAAGAGAGTTTTCATTCCTGAGCTCGGCAAGCTGATGAAAGCTGGGGCTTAGATTCCTCGCCATTCACAAGACTCCCGTTCCTTTCCAGTCCCTGCCGTCGGGACACATGCAAGGGACCTTTGAACTGGCAAGTAAAGAAGAAAACAGAGAGAAAAACCGGTATCCCAACATCTTGCCCAGTAAGACTTCACAGTGGTTTGTTGTTGTCTGTTTGTTTTTGTATGATCAGCTATATGTGGACTAACTACCCTTGACATTGCTTTGCAGCTTGCTGGTGACAGTATCTGACCTACAAACATGGCATCAGGGTCCTTAAATCACTGTCACCACTTGGTGCTTACCCTGGGAGCTGTAGAGCCACCCTCTCTGGGTGTGTCTTCCTACACAGGGTGCAAATATCTTTGCTGCTGCTGCTGGGGTTGCTACAGGAAGCAAGATGAGCAGGGTGCCTGTCCCCACCATGGGTACCAGCAGGCAGGGCCTTTTCTACCAGATTCGGTCCTGGGTACCAGCGTAGGTCTGCTGATGGCCTTGAGCAGTCTCTGCCCTCAGAGTCAGAGTTTGTGGCCACAAGGAGCAAATCCCTAGTGTACTCTCGGACCCTGACCAAAGGCAGAAATGGCGGAATGAAAAACCACACCGATTTTGCACCTTTGTGGGAAGGCTTAGCCAACCCAGTTTTAGCCCCAGTAAAACAGTGGCCATGGGCTGAGGATGTGGGTGTCAAGAAGTGTGCGAGCTGGGGTGCAGGCGGCTGTGTGCTGGGCATCTTGTTGTAACTGACTGAGCCTGGCCCCAGGATGCCTGTCTTGCCGACAGGACAAACCCTGCATATTTCCAGTTGCCTGTACAAAAGCTGGCTCATGAGGGTGGTAACACCCTTTCCCAGCCTGAGGTAGCCTTCCCACCCTCCCAACCACAGCTTTGCCCTTCAGGCTGACAGAAGGGCGGCCTCAAACCGCTCCAGGAAGCTCAGGCTTGGATCCTAGACAGAGGCCTTCTGCTGGTCCCAGAGACCCCAGTTCTCAGGGAGCCCCTGGTGGGGTCAGGGAGCCAGCCTAGGTGGGCTTCAGCATGTTTTGTGTCCCTGGATCTGTGACCTGTCAAATCTATGGTCCTGGGTTTCTAGCACTTTCTGAAAGTGACTCTTATCCACTGTCCATGCACAGAGTTTGTAAGCGATTTTTTGTAAAACCCACCCTGATTCTAGGATCCAACTTCTTACGTGCATCTCTCTCTTAATCATGAAACCTGCCATCCCCTAAAGGTGGCACAGTTCTAATTAAGAATTTCTGAGCCAGGTGTGGCACTTCTCACCTGTAATCTCAGCAGTCTCCAGACTCAGGAAGGAAGAGCTCCAGATGGAGACCAGACTGCATGGCAAGAGAGACCCTGTCTTTAAAAGAAAAAGGGAAAAGGGAGGGAAGAAGACGAAAGAGGAAAGAGAGAGAGAGAGAGAGAGAGAGAGAGAGAGAGAGAGAGAGAGAGATGGGCAGAACTCCTTCCTGAAAAATCTCCCCCATGTGCAAGCCTAGGTTACAACTGCAGAAGGAAATCAGCCTGTCCCCTCCCCATATAGAAATGTGACAGGACTCTGAACAGTCCTGTTCAGTGTCGCTCATAAGTTCTCCTGCCCTTGCCCCAGCATGAGATCAGCCCCGACCCTCCCTGCTCAGGAGTAACACCCCACTTGGGGTGCTAGCAGCCATAAAGGGCTGTGGGAAAATGATGTGTTTCACAGGCGTGGAGGGTTGCTGGGTTTCGGGGACCATGGCATGCGGACTGGGCCTGGTGAGCCCAGCAGTAGCATCCAGCTGACAGGTGTGTCTTATGAAATAGAGTGGCTGGTCCTGTTGGGACAAGACAGTGAGCTGAATTTCAGAGAATCAGATTAGAATCCGCAAGGTGAGTTGCGGTGACCCAATGCCCACAGTTCCAGGTGCACCTGCCTCTCCCAATCTCCCCCAAGACATGGCAGATTTACAGTAGGTTTCAAGATGCCCCTGGGCCAGGTCACAGTTTTGGCTGTGGCTTGGGAGTCCCAAGGACAGAGTCAAGCACTCTGGACAAGTGTCTGTGGGCATTGGCCAGCAGCCTGGCAGCCTGCTTTGCTGGAGGATGCCATCAGCTGGTAGTATGAGGAAATGGTGTTTTGACAGTGAAGTGTGACTTTTTAGAATGAAGAAACAGGAAGCTCTTCGAAACTGTGAGAGTCTAAGTTGATGCAGAGGCTGTTTTCCCCCTGTTTTCGTAGCTGTCTGCACAGTGTAAGGTATTCTAAATGCTCTTCAACCGTGTGACACCTGCCAGGCCCTATGTCCCTGAGCATGAGTGTCTGCGTGGTGGTAGGTTTGGGGTTTGCCGTCCTGCCCAGCACATGTAGACTGTCCCACCCCCACCTGTGACAGGACATATGTTGCTTAGCAGCCTTCCATGGAAAGTTGGCCACTGCCATAGCCAGGCTGCTGTGGAAGTCTCAGTCCTTTGCCTCAGCCTCCCAGGGGCTGAGACTACAGACTTGTGCCCCTGTAGCCCTCTCTCCACCTCCTGCAGACACAGTGGTCAAGTAGCAGCTTTCATGGAGGAAAGGCCCAGGAAGCAGAAGTCACAGATGTGCTGAGCCCTCACCAGTTTCCCAGGTGTGCACACACGACTCTACACACTGCAACATACCACACTGCATACCGCGTACATAAGCCAGATGCACATCACACATCACATACACATACGCACACGCACACATGAAGAGTACACCATCGCACACTCTGCATATTTTACACAGAATACAAACACCACACCGTATTCTTCACACCACACACCACACAAACACATACCACACACCATGCATATACTACATACATAGTACACTATGCCACACACCACATATACAACACACAAAGCACTCACCACACTAAATTCCTCACACCTCACCACCCAACACAGTCACAACATACAAATACACACTACACATACATGCACAACACATAAAGTACACTATGCCACACACCACACATACCACACATAATATACACACCACACTATATTCCTCACACCATACCACCCAACACAGATAGCACACACAAATAAACACCACATATAATAAGCTCACAACAAACATGCCCTACTATACAATAAATACTTAATACACTCAAGCACACATATACACTATAATATATAATACACAACCACAAAATATACACACCACACCACAAACATACATACACTACACCAAAACACTACATACACATGTAGTACCCCATATACTATATATAACACACACATAACATACATATACACCACATACATGTATGCTGGACAACACACACTTAACACACATACCACTTATAACACACAGAACCATAAACATACACATACACACATACCATACACATACACATCTCTGGCTACCCTCCCATCCTGGAAAAGATATATACCACATGCATGTATGCTGGACAACACACACTTAACACACATACCACTTAGAACACACAGAACCATAAACATACACATACACACACATACACACACACCATACACATACACATTTCTGGCTACCCTCCCATCCTGGAAAACATATACACCACATGCATGTATGCTGGACAACACACACTTAACACACATACCACTTAGAACACACAGAACCATAAACATACACATACACACACACCATACACACACACATCTCTGGCTACCCTCCCATCCTGGAAAACACTGTGTACAATAGGCCGGACTCTCCATGGCCAGTGGGCTAATGTGTGTGAGCTTCCTTCCAGCCCTAGTGCAGAGGGCGAAGGATGGAGACTGGGGTTCAGAGTCCCACACCCATCTTCTACATGTCCCCTGGAAAGCCTGGGTGAGTGGTCCTGGTTCTTCATCCTGCGGTTTCCCTATGTGCCCCTGCGCTTGTCAGTGTTACAGCCCATTGTAGGCTGCAGAGAACATTGTCACTGCACACTGTGTATCATCAGGTATCCCCATCCTAGATGCCGAAACCACAGGTGTCCTTCCCTGGCAAAGGTACCACATGGGCCTAACAAGGCAGGGGCACCCCATCCTGACCTCAGTGTGGGGGGCTGCCTACGTCCTTCCTAGAGGCTGGAACTTAGTTGGGCCTCTGTAGCCCTTTGTCCTAACTCCATGGGTTTGTCTGCTTCTTCCAGATGATCATTCAAGGGTGATTCTGAACCAGGTGGACGGAATCCCCTCCTCTGACTACATCAATGCTTCCTACATAGATGTAAGTTGGCCATTTTCCTTTCACCTGGCCTGGCTTGAAGCTGATGCTGGGCATTCAGGGGCTGAATCTGAACCAGGACTCTGGGTGTTTTCCTCCCCGCTTTCCAGACCCCCCACAGCCCTGAGAGCATTAGGCCATTGGTGCCTTCCTGGCTAGCATTTACATCAGGAACTATAGAGGTGGCACAGAGGTGGCAAAGATCAGTAATAGCCCAGGTGGGCCCAGGGATGTGCGTTACAGCGCTATTGTATCATGACAAACTGGAACTAGTTAGGTAAGTTGTGACTAGATGAACTGCCGTGGATTACTAAGAATTCATTTAATTGGTCTTTGAAAGATCATTTAAAGTTTTACATTTCTGCTTGTGTGTGTGTCTAGGAATATTCTCATTAAAAAAAAAAACTAGAGGGGCTGGAGAGATGGCTCAAACCATCCGCTCTTGAAAATGTGGCGTAAGTACCAAACACTCTATAGCCAGCCAAGATGCCATGAGCCATAGACTTTGGAAGTTAGGGAACGCCTGAGGAAGACAGGACCAAGGCCAGCCATCTAGTGCCTTCCACTAATTGTATAAACACAGCCGCAAAAGCCTGAGTGATCACACCACCTGTGGGGTCCTGTTTCTCTTGTCAACGGTCCTTTCCTCTCTCCCCTACTCTAACTGCCAATAGAAGTAACCTCTCAGTGGAGGTGTGTTTCTTCTTAGGGCTTTGTGAGGATGACGCTGGGGGTAGTTCTAATCAGGAGTGTGTACGTGTGTGTGTAAAATGATCTGAAAGAGGAAAAAAAATATTTCCTTTTTGGAGACGCTGGCTGTGTGTGACCTTTTACCAAGAGAGGGCGCCCTCTGAGCAGGAATTTGTCTACAACGGCTATGTGTAGACACACACACACACACACACACACACACACACACACACATACACCTGTGACTTACACAGCACACACAAGAATTGCCCTTTTACCATCCTGTGGTTCAAATTTATTTTTGAAATAGATAACCTTGACTTCTCTCAGCTGACCATGCTCCAAAAGACTTCCAGTTTTGGGTAGCATGGGATAGACGAACTTTTTGGTTAAGGTTATAGCCAGAATGCTTCAGACACAAAAACATGTCCTTACCCGTACACCTGGTCCCACCCTGTACACGGAGTACATTTCGTCCAGCTTTTGGTCCATTCTGCCAAAGGCTGTCTCTCTCAGAGCCAGCACTACATCTCACAAGGGCTCAGTGAAGCTAAAATTAGACTCCTCCTCCTACTCCTCCTCTTCCCCTCCTCTTTGTCCTCCTCCTTCTCCTCTTTTTCTTCCTCTTTTCCTCCTCCTCTTCCTCTTTTCTACCTCCTCCTAGACCAGGAATCTATGGGGAGCTTGTTACAAACCCAGATCCCCTAAGAAATAGAAGCACTTGTCACACACAAGGGACATCAGGACTATGCTCTACCTCCTCCTAGACCAGGAATCTATGGGGAGCTTGTTACAAACCCAGATTCCCTAAGAAATAGAAGCACTTGTCACACACAAGGGACATCAGGACTATGTCTTCTATGAATCAGAGAAAACCTGTCAAACATTGTCAGAAACATATAAGCCATTTTCCGTCATAAGCAGACATCTAGGGGAAAGTGATCCAAGGCTGGGACCATGTCCTAAGGCAAAAGGACTCCTTTATCTTCCTGCCTCCTCGTAGCGTGGCGCTCTAACAAAATGGCTGCTGCACCTCCAGGCACTGTGTCCACATTCAGACAGGAAGTGGACAAAGGGCAGGAGACTTTCTTCTAGTGATACTAGAGCTTCTGTTCAGACCCACTCCTCAGGGACTTTAGCTGACATCTTTTTAGACAGCACTATGATATGAGATTGAGGTTTTGACAAGGGAAAGGATGTTAGAGATAGAGAGTCATGGCTCTCGTACACCACACACACACACACACAAAAACACACACACACACACACATACACACACACACACACACACTAACTCTGACTCAGCAGTTCTGGAGGGCCAGCCATCCGAGGGACTCAAGCATGCGGTGGAAGCCACTTTGAGGTGCAACAGCACTCGCTCTCCTGTGGTCCTTTTTATTTTTCGGTGATGACCGTAGCTGGCCCCGGTGCACAGTGAGGTGCCAGGATGATGGGCCCACCTTGTGCCTGGGGAAGGTGTAAGCCTTCCAAGGCTGAGTTCATGGATTGGGCTGAGATGGTGCCTCCTGGTACCCTTGACGCTGACCCCGCCTCTCTGACACAGGCCCTAAGCAGGAGACAGTGAATGACTTCTGGAGGATGGTCTGGGAGCAGAAGTCGGCCACCATCGTCATGCTGACAAACCTGAAAGAAAGGAAGGAGGTAAGGACCCCCAAGGACCCTGCGGCCCTTTTTCCTGGCCTGGCATAGCAGGGGGCCCTTCTTCCCTGCCTGGCACAGCAGGGGGCCCTTCCTCCCAGCCTGGCACAGCAGGGGGCCCTTCCTCCCAGCCTGGCACAGCAGGGGGCCATGGCCACTTCCTTTTTGCCTAGGCCCCTGTCCCTTCTAGCAGTACAGGACAGAGTACTCAGTACCTTCCAGCACTCTGTCTTGAAATCACTGTTTTCAGTACCTCACTGTCCTCCAATTTACAGGAAGTAAGGGGTGTCCTTTGTCTGAGGGTCACCTGGCCAGCCCATGACTCTAAGACCATGGGAGAGAAACAGATGTTAAAGTGAAAGTTTCTGATGTGTTGGGCATACACTGCAGTGGGCCTGGCTGCAAATGAACAGGATTGCACGGGTCTCAGCTAGACTGGAGAAGTAGAAATGCTCTTGAATGAGATTCGTGTGTATGTTATCTGAGTTTGAAGCTTCATCCAAGAAGGACTTCTTGTCAGAACTGGTCCCCACTAGCATCTGCTGGACCAGCAGGCCTGGCCCCTGTGCCAGGAACTGACTCACACAGGCTGTGGAGGGGCTTGGAGCCCAGTGAAGCTGGCCTGTTGTAGGCGGCCAGCTCTCCCTCCCAGGCTCGGCGGGATTGGGGACTGGAGAGAGGCTTCCTAGGTGGGGCGAGGCAGCTAAAGTTCAACATGTTCAGCATGAAGGCCCAGATTGGCAGAAGGTGTCTGCCCGCCAGGCCCCAACCCAGGGCTCTTGGCATGGGTGGGGCTGACCTGGCCCTAACAGCACTCCATGTGCTGAGGACGTGGGTAGGGCCTGTAGTGCCGAGTCTTGGGTGTACAGAAGGACGACACCATAGGATGGGCAGCTGAGTCTTGTCACCAGGGCACCTCACTGAGAGGCTCCATGCCAAACAGCATGGGGAAAAGTCTCCAGGAGCCATTTGAGGTTGGTCAGGGAGAGGATGGAGCTTTGTTTTTGAGGGACAGGGTGGGGAGGGCCACACCTTCTCACAGTATGACTCCTACCCTAATCTTGTCATTCTTTGTCACCAGTGGAAACAGTGACAGGAGGAAAGTGGGATTCTCACTGTGCATTTCCTGCCCTCTGAGGTGGGAATCCCCCGCCCCATTCTGTAGACAGGGAGGCTGATCTTCACCAGGGCCCTCGGGTCCTGTGACCTGCTGCCCACACAGACCAGACCCCCTGAGGGCAACTTCTCCAAATAGCCAGCCTGAGCAGAGGCAGAGGGACTCATGCTCTGTCCCACCCTATCCTGCTGGTGCCATCCCCCTCCACCTCCCCCAGAGCTCCTGCTGTATTTTTCCGGCCCTGCCTGTGACTCAGCACTGCCCACTGGTCCTCTCAGTTTCCAGATGGAGTCATTTCTCAAGACAGTTCCCTCTCCTCCATGGCTCGCACTGCGACCTCATGCATCCACATCCTGGGCAGTGTGTTGTGAAACGCAGCTGGCATCTCATGACCGGATGGAGCGGGGAGGCCTGGGTGCAGATCAGCCATGAGCATTGGGCCCCTGGGGTCTGAGACCCCTGTCCTCATCCCAATGGGAGATTTTCAAGGGAGAACTAAAAATGGGTCCCCAGGGCCAGGGGGCAAAACGTGCCCAAACCAGGCCACCTCTGAGGCCCTGTGACAGTGGGCCAGCCCAGGCCAAGATACAGGAAGGGCCAGCATTTGCCCCATGGGCATCATGATAAGGATGCTGGTCTTTGTAGTACCAAGCACTTTATGAGATTGTTAGTCCTGGAGACTCAGCCAGTTTGCTGTGCCATTCACTGGCCATTTCTAAGACAAACTGAGGTGCCTGGAAAGCTTGCTAAATTCTAGAGATTTGTTCAAGGAAGGCTATATAGTTCTTTTCCCTCTTTTAATGGGCTCCCATTTACCTACACACTCTGTGCTGATGGACAGCTTACTGCCCATTAGATTTTGGGTTTCCAGGAAGAAAACAGCACCTGGAGCTTGTCTCTGAGGCCACTGAGAATTGAGAGGAAGTGAGGGTAACAGGAGTACCTTGTGGCTTCCCATGTTAGCATGAGGCTTCAGTAGCCTGTCCTGGAGGAAACATGGTGCCGGACCCTGGGGGAGGGCAGTCTGGGGGTGTGGAGGGCCTCACTCCAGCCAAAGGGGGTCAGGCCCCCCAGCTTGGAAGGGAGAGGGCTCAGCATAGCCAGGCACGACCCTTGCAATAGCATGTGTGATAAAAGAGGAAGCAGATGAGTCATTATCACGTCCAACTGGAATGCCACCCTGCATGGTCCACAGCTGCTCCTGACACTTGTATGGCCTCCCTCTCCCTATTTCTAAAAGATAAACTGTGCTGTAGTCTTTCCAGCTGTGTGGCCTTGTGTGAAGGGTACAGTCAATGACAGACCTGTGCCTTGATTTGTTTCTGTCAATTGTTCTCTGCAGGAAAAGTGCTATCAGTATTGGCCGGACCAAGGCTGCTGGACCTATGGGAACGTCCGTGTGTGTGTGGAGGACTGTGTGGTCCTGGTGGACTATACCATCCGAAAGTTCTGCATTCAAGCAGTAAGCATGGCCAGGTGGTGGCATCCTACAACTTAGAAGGAGGCTTTACAATGTGAAAAGCTGACCCCAACACGGCAGGGCAGGATCTCTCACTGAGGCCTGTGGCTGTGGCATCATGGAGCATGTGACAGGCCGGCACAGCGTTAGTGGGTCAGGGACCTGAATCTAGAGTGTTCTGGGCACTTTGGGCTCTCAGCAACTGTTCCAGGCCTTCCCAGGAGGAGGGTGAAGCAGATTTTTTAAAATTTATTTTTATGTATGTATGTGCGTTTGTGTCTGTGTGTGGGTATGTGCATGTGAGTGCAGGTACCATGGAGGCCAGAGAAGGTGTTGGATCCCCTGGAACTAGAATTATAGACCATTGTGAGTCACCCAGTGAGGATGCTGGGAACCAAAACTGGGTCTTCTGGAAGAGCAGCAGGATCTCTTAACCTCAAAGCCATCTCTCCAGTGCAAGACAGAGTTGTTTCTTAATGGTGTCAAACTTATGTCCAGAATTTCCCTATTCTTTCTCGTGCCCATTATGGCAGCGTCAACAAAATGCTCGTGAACAAAGCAGGTGGAATGAGAACTTAGATATTTTAAAACCATAGGTCGTTTTATCAGGAATCAAGATAAACTGGTGTGAATAAATGTGCAAAATATGAAGTGAATTTCCTAGAAGTCGCCGCAGAAGGGTTTCCAACGGATGGGCTGGGGTGTGGCTCAGTGCAGAGCACTTGTTCAGCATGCTCCGGATTCAGTGTGTCACCCCAAAATTGTTCCCTGCTGGCCTCTCTCCTAGATAGTGCACGCGCACACACACACACAGACACACATACACACACAGACACACACATACAGACACACACACACCCACACACACACAGAGACACACACACCCACACCCACACACACACACAGACACACATACACACACACACAGACACACACACACAGACACACACACACACACAGACATAGACACAGACACGGATACACACATAAGAACACACACACACAGACACACAGACACACAGACACACACACACACACACACACACCACAGTACTTCTAAATACACTGTTTAAGTAACACTGTTTATTGCCTTCCATCAGGCACAGGACAATCATGGACTCCGGGCTGCAGAGGTTGCACAAAGCTATGAGGGAGGGTTCGAGGTCTCAGTGTAGAGGCTAACCCCTTCACTTTTTCCCCTCAAATTAACACTTTGAGGCTGAAGGGATGTGCTGGTGATGGCAGGTCCACAGGAGTGAGGTGGGACCATCCAGACAAAGCAAGCAGGCCCTCCTCACAACTGGGGCACCTAAGCATTAAGACCAGCTTTTGGTATGTGTGGCTACAGGGCACCTGCTGTCCTGGGTGTGACCAGCTGCATGGGCCCTGTCCCTCTAAGAGCTGTTCAGAGTCAACTCCAGGGCCACACTGGTGAGCTCCAGGGCAATTCTGCATTGGTGGACACTGACCTAGGATGGGCCCTCCCTCAGAAGGAGGCACTGGGTGCACAGGGTGAAGTGGTCCTGCCCCTCACATCTCCCTTGTCCCTACAACAGCTCCCAGATGGCTGTAAAGCCCCGAGGCTGGTCTCACAGTTACACTTCACCAGTTGGCCTGACTTTGGGGTGCCTTTCACCCCCATCGGGATGTTAAAGTTCCTGAAGAAGGTGAAGACACTCAATCCCTCTCATGCTGGGCCTATCGTGGTCCACTGTAGGTATGGTATGTCAGGGTGGGGCTTGAACTTTAAAGGCAGCTGCAGTGGGGGAATGACCAGTTGCTGCAGTGGGGGAATGACCAGTTGCTGCAGTGGGGCAATGACCAGTTGCTGCAGTGGGGCAATGACCAGTTGGGCCAGGGCTGTGGTGGGCAGAGTCGGGGTGGAGGCCATGTAGTTTCAGAGCCACTCAAAGAGCCATGAGGGGAGCTTCAGGGGCACTGTAGTTCAGCTGGAGCGCTGGCGCACACTCCCCACCAGCGTCCAAGTAGAACCCCAATATGACAAACCTGCCAAAGCTGATAGGCCCAGGATGATGTCTGGAGTGGGGCTCTGGGCAGATCTACCCCACCCTCTGCTCCCTCAGGTGCCCTGAGGGTCCCTCAGTTCCCAAAGGGCACATCCAGGGTGCCCTCCCTTGCCAGGTTAAAACCCTATCCCTGATAGGAAGACAGAGTTTGGGGGTAAGGAGAACCTGATCCTCACAGCTCACCCAGCTTGCCTGGCTCTAGTCCTGGACTCATTTACTGAGGCTGCAGCTCCCTCTACTGGCCGCATGTAGATTAGGTGTCCCACTTAACTGCTGCAGGCTGTGTCCTCTGCATGGTGTTCAGGCACCGTCCCAGGCTGTCATTTACTTCAGGGCAACGTGACTCATGATGTGGCATCTTTCTCCTTCCTGAAGTGCGGGAGTAGGCCGGACGGGCACCTTCATTGTGATCGATGCCATGATGGACATGATACACTCGGAGCAGAAGGTCGACGTCTTTGAGTTTGTGTCACGCATACGCGATCAGCGCCCTCAGATGGTCCAGACAGATGTGAGTGGCACCTCCTCCCGCCCAGGCTGAGCATCACAGAGCACCCAGGGGCTCTTGACACACACCATAGACCCGACTTCTTTATTTGTTTTGTTTTACTTTTTGCAGTTCTGGGGGTTGCACCGAGGTTTGGTGCATGCTGAGGTCTGGTGTGTACTAGGCCTGCGTGACCTACCACTAAGCTTTACTCCCGGCTCACTTTTTATAATTAGAGGCAATTTAATAAGATGCCCAGGCCGTCTTGAACTTGTGATTCTCCTGTGTCAGCCTCTCGAGTGACTGGAATTATAGGCCTGCACCACCAGGCCCAGCTTGCAGGCCTGGTTTTGATTGGCAGGTGGCCACATGAGTGTGCCCAGCGTCAGAGCTCGGCTCCCTCCCATTCTGTCACTACTTCCCGTGAGGTCTCAGAGACCAGTGACTCTTGTCCTTGGTATTTCCATAGGGGGATGATTCTAAGCGGCCAGATTGACTCCTGGCATCCTCAGTAGGTACCAGCCATTACTTTGCCCTAGATAAGCAGTCTACATGGTATTAATGGGGTCCTTGCCCCCCTGAGCCTCCTTCCACTGATGTTAGGAGAAGAAAGGGCTCCTCTGGTCCCAGACTCCAGCAGCACCCCCGTCTCCCTGCAGGTACAGTACACATTCATCTACCAAGCCTTGTTGGAGTACTACCTCTACGGAGACACAGAGCTGGACGTATCCTCCCTGGAGAGGCACCTGCAAACGCTACACGGCACGACATCCCACTTCAACAAGATCGGACTAGAGGAAGAGTTCAGGGTGAGTGTGCGAGGCCGCCTCCATGCCCCAGTGTGGGGCTCGGAAATGGCAACCGCTTCACTGAAGTCTCTTGCAGTCACTGACCCTCCCAAATGAGCTGATACACAGGGAGATGGGTGTGAGGCCATGGCTTTCTGGAGGCGGCTAACAATACAAGCCACATGCAAGGGGCTGGGAGACGCTAAGCTGACTTCTGGACGTGAAGGTGGACATTCCCTCTGAGCGGGTCCCCAGCAGTAGGTCTGTCACATGTTGCGCAGGAACTCCAGTTCTGACCACATCCCTGTGTTCTTCTCTACAACAGAAACTGACCAATGTGAGGATCATGAAGGAGAACATGAGGACTGGCAACCTGCCCGCCAACATGAAGAAGGCCCGAGTCATCCAGATCATTCCATGTAAGGCTTGGGTTCCCATCCCCACCCTTGTGGTAGCTGGCAAGCCTTGGGTCCCTGCACCACTACCTTTGTACACTGGGAGTTGTGTCCAGTGCTTACAAGAAAGGGCCATCCTAGGGCACCCAGGGCATCTCCACAGATCTGTGAGGCTCTCTGGTGGCAGCCTAGAGTCATGACTGAGAGGCAGGGGGCACCGGAGCTGCTGTACAGGGATGGTTCCCAGGAAGCAGAGGGGCTTGCTCCAGACATGCCCTGGTGCCTCACTCAGCGCTCTCTGGGCAAAGGCACATCCTTCCTTGCACAGAGGGCACAGCGGGTGACATGGCCAAGGCCATGCACATGGCAAAGGACTAAGTAGGACTGGAAGTTAACTCAGCTGAGCCCTTAAAGGAAAAGGCTTTGCCCACAGGACAGCATGACACTAGCCTAGGCTAGAATCAGGACTCTGACCTGCCATGGAAGATGGGGATGAGGGAGGCAAAGGCCCTCAAGGAGGCAAGAGCCTGCATCTTCATCAGTGGGGAACAGAGAGAAACCTGGGCAGAAGTAACGAGAGAGGCTTGTGGGAAAGCACTGGTTCAAGAAGGCCACCGATGCTGCATGCTATGTGTGACCATCCACTCCATGGATCCTCAGCTCAGCAAACACTCACCACCTTCAAATGGCTATAAGCAGGCCTGCCTCATGATGTTCATCTCTGCTACAGGAATCTGACAGTTCTCAGGGGCTGGGAGACCTGCCCAGCCTCTAGCTCTTGGTTCTCTGTAACTTTGGTGTCTCTTCTTGATGGCAGCTCCAAGCTCCTGTCCAGCTACACTCACTTTATTCTTTAAATGAAGTTTTTTTTAATGTTTGTTATACTGATTATGAAAAATGAAAATAACTGAAAACACCCCAAAGAGTTGGATTTATGAACAGGCTTGGTCTCGGCCTTAATTTCTTTTCCCTTTGCTATGATAAAATACCCTGACAAAAGGAACTTACGGGAGAAAGGGTTTATTCTGGCTCCTAGTTCAAGGGCATAGCCCATCATTTGGGGGAAGTCAAGGCAGCAGGAGCTTGGAGCCACTGGTCACATGACATCAACAGTGTTAGAAATCAGTCTGTGGACTCAAGAAAATTACCACACAATCCAAAGCATTTCAGCAAGGCAAAAAGTTTTACTTCTGTGGAAGGGTGTGTAGTATCGAATCAGGCAACAAACCCACCAGGTTTTTATCCCTACCCCAAAGGTGTCCTGGGTTTCGCTCTGGTCCGAGCTGGACTCACATCTTTATACGATTGATTGACTTAAAGTGACATGGTTGATAAGCAGAATGCAATTTGAGCACCAAGTGCGACCTTGAGCACGTATTTTAGTTTCAAGATGTGCTGACCCTGGAAGAATTTGTATTTCTGCCCATTTTCTTCTAGGCAATTTTTCATTACATGAGGTTTATCTCATTTAGCCCTTTGATGGAAAAGACAGTCCATCTCTTTTACATTTCCCACAACAGTCAGGAAGCAGAGAGTAAGTGAAGACCAGCTACAGCTCAGCTCACCTTCTCCACCTCCCTCAGTTAGGAGCCCCCTGCCCAGGGAGTGTCCAGCCCACAATTAAGATGGGTCTTCCCACACCAATTAATGAAATCACGATACTCCGTCACAGGCATGTCCAGAGCCTACCTCCTAGGTGTTCTAGATTCCTTCAAGTTGACAACTCTGACCATCACAGTCTGCAAAACAGAGTTGTGTCTCTGCTGACATGAAATCCTACTTTGCAGATGACTTCAATCGGGTGATCCTCTCCATGAAGAGAGGTCAGGAATACACAGACTATATCAACGCATCCTTCATAGACGTATGTATTGCCGCCCTGAATGTGCTTGGTGCAGTGCGGGGCTCCCTCATACGTGAACATGCACTCGAGGAACTGCCGTACCCAACAAAAAGCATTGAACCGTAATAACCCCTTTCTTAGCAGAATTACTTGCTTAAAATGAATAGTGAGGCTGGAGAAAGGGCTCAGTGGTTGAGAGCACTGACTGCTCTTGCAGAGGACCCGGGTTCAGTTCCCAGCACCCACATGGTGGCTAACAACCATCTCTAACTCCTTTTCCAGGGGATCCAGCACCTTCTTCTGACCTCTTCAGGCATTGCATGACACAGATGCACTTACATACATGCAGGCATTGCACTCATATGTGAAAAATAAATAAATAAATATTTTTAAAAAATGAATAGTGAGCTGGGTGGTGGTCCACACTTGTGATCTTAGCACTTGGGAAATGGAAGCAGGAGGATCAGGAGTTCAAAGTCAGCCTCAACTACACAGCAAGTTTGAGGCCAGCCTGGGCTACATGAGACCCTGCCTCAAGAAAACAATCAATTAATAGTGAACTTTGAAAATGGGCTTTAGTCTTACTGATGAGTGATTGGCTGTTTACACTGGGCCTTTTAAGGATTGCATCTGTGTTATGTGGCTGTTTTTGCATGATTCTGAGTGATTTCTGTAACCTGAACCCATGTGGACAGGGAGATTCTGTACATTGTCTGGGGCACACAAGAGCCCATCCCCATGCACAGTGGAGTTGGCAGAAAAAGATGGGCAGGAATGAACTTTGCAGCCAAGTTCCTTTGCTTAAGCAGAAGCCCTGCGGCTTCTGTCTGCGGTCAGGAATTGACCCAGGTGTTTCCTGATAAAGGCCTTGGGCCTGGCGGGCCACTCCCTCTTCAGCTCTGGGCCTAGGTGTTCCTCGCCACCATGTTGTGAATCTAGCTGTGAGAAGCAGAAGCCTGTTAGAATCAAAACCATTGAGTGCTGTCCAGGTGACCTCAAGTGACTAGCCCTTAGACGTGACCTCCAACACTGAAGGCAGAGGTGTGTGGCTCTGCTCAGGAGTGTCTGCCAGCTGGGCAGGCCAATGCACACACACACACACACCCTTGGCCACAGGGCTTCTGCTTAAGCCTTGGAGAATTCGGAGAGTTTCTGACACTGGCTAGGGCTGTCCCAAGTGCATGTGGCAGTGGGGTTCTGGGGTTCTGGGGTTCTGGGCACAGATATCCCACTCCTAACCTCTGCTCCCATCCTAGGGCTACAGGCAGAAGGATTACTTCATGGCCACGCAGGGGCCGCTGGCGCACACAGTAGAGGACTTCTGGAGGATGGTGTGGGAGTGGAAGTCACACACGATTGTCATGCTGACAGAGGTGCAGGAGCGGGAACAGGTGAGCAGGGCCAGGGCCTATCCAGAAGCACTGTACGTGGGGCTGAGTGTGATATCTGCTGGAGTGACATCTGCTGGTGTGATGTCCGCTGGTGTGATGTCTACTGGTATGATATCTGCTGGTGTGATGTCCACTAATGTGACATCCGCTGGTGTGATGTCTTAGCAGTAAGGCCTGTGAAGACACAGGGAAAGTGGAGCCAAAGAGGGAGGGAGGGACGAAGGGACAGAGGGACGGAGGGAGGGACGGAGGGAGAGAGGGAGGCCAGAATGAACAAGGTGTTTTCTCATTCTTTGCTTTTGGGGATGGAGGAGTGGTTATCATCAATACCCCACCCCAGTCTCAATTCTCAGCCTACATTTCATCACACTGCCTTGACATTCTGCCACTTTTTATATGTCATGGTCACAGCCCTTCAAGGTGAGAGAGTGTTTTCAAGACTTAAAGGCACACATTCATACATACACCTGGTTGTTGCCCTAATCAAATCAAATTACTTCAGTGTTTCCATTTATCTGAGAATGTCAGAGGCCTCAGGAAGCCACATCCTCCAGAAAGAAAGGAGCTTTACCAATACTGTGCTTCTCTCTGAGTGGGTTTTGCCCCAAGACCTGACCTCAACCCTGAAGCTGTTTTGACTTCTTTGCTTTAAAACACAAAACTTTACTGAGATGTGACTGTCCTGTCATGCAGTTCGCCTTTTTAAAGGGCACAATTTGTTATGGTTTAATGTGTTCATAGTGTAGGGCAAACATCACCTCTGTCTAATTCCAGATCATGGTCAACAGCCCAAAAGAAACCTTGATCCAATAACAATCACTCCTCCCTATCCATCCCTCCTCCCAGACCCTGATAACTGCTGGTCTACTTCCCAACTCTACTGATTTGCCTGTTCTGGACTTTACTATAAATTCAGGCTCTCCATGTGTGGTCTTTGAGGAGCATGTTCTCTCCTCAGTCACCTGTCCAGGCTCATCCAGACTTTAGCATGTATCGCAACTTGATGTTTTTTTAAATAGAATATCTTTGATTGGTTCTTTGACAGTTTAATCCACATAAACAATGTATCTTGATCATAGCCATTCCCAACTCCCCTCAGGTACCACAACGTGTCCCTCCCCCCCTTCGTGCCTTCTCCATTTTAATTTTCTTGTAACCCACTGAGTTCAGTTAATGTGCCTGCTCTGATGTTGGCTGATCTTGTGGCTTGACCTCGTGTAGGTAACTGTGGCTGCAGTGAGTCTGTGGTGTGATGTCCATATCAGGACAGCATTTCACAGCTTCCCTCCCATCCTCCAGCCCTTACGTTCTTTCATCCCTCTCTCCCATGACGTTCTCTGAGCATTGGGGTGGGAGGTTGATATAGATGTCTGCAATACTATAATGTTATACAGTACAATACAATAACAAACTTCTGTTGTTGACAGTAGTCCATCGTCCAAATGGCCACACAACTTTTATCCCTTGTTCGTCAGTTGATGGATAGCTGTATTACTTCTACACGAGGGCTGCTGGGATGAGCCTGTTGTGGACATTCATGTTCCAGCCTTTGTGCAGACCACTTTTTATGTTTTGGGGGCTACATACCTAGGAGTGGAATTACTGACTTATAACATAACTCTGTCATAAACTTTGATCATTTGATATTTTTAAAGAAATTATTTCCCAAAGTAGCAGCCTGGTTTGCATTCCCACTCTTGATGGGCAAGGGCTCTAATTTCTCTCCATTCTTGACAACATTTGTTATTTTTTGCCTTTTTTATTAAAGCCAATAGTGGATAGATTCTTTCCTTTGTTGAAAAGAAAACTTTAAATCAGTTGGGTGTGGTGGCAGATGCCTGTAATCCCAGCACTTGGGGAGAGGAGGCAGGAGGATTAGAAATTCAGTCATCTTCTGCCACAGTGAGTTCAAGGCCTGACATGAAGTCCAGGGTCAAAAATAAAAATCCTTTAAACCATATATATACATCTGTGCCTAAAGAAGCTATTCTTCAATGTAGCTTGTGTACAACTTTATATAAAGATTACCATTGTATGTAATCTTCCAGGAGCTGATTTTCCCATCTATACTGTATTTTTGGTATTTTCCTACGCTGGTGTCTGTGACTGTGTTCAGTTACTGGGTTGTGCATTCTAGTACAGACCACACATCTTCATATACTTGTTTAACCCTTTCCCAGTCCTGGGCAGTGGGGCCTGTTCCATCCTGCTGTTTGACAAACAACTGATACGTTTCATACTGCCAAGGGTTAGCTGGTGCCAAGGAGACAAAATGTCAGATTGGGGAGTGCGTCCACGGATTCCTGGTTGCTTTCCAACGTGGTTTTCAAAGTGAGCACCAGCAGCAGACTAGACGTATCATTCACTGATGTGCCTGGAGCACGTAGGCATCCTCATGTTCGCTAAGTAGCTGCTGCTGTGTCACTCTGTGGTTGTGATTGACATCCCTCTCGTTCTATAAGGTAGAGCATCACCTCAAATATCTGTGGATGTTTTATTTCTTCTTGTATAAAACACTTGTTCTTGCTTTCTGCTTTTAGTACTTACTCTTCTCCTTGCTGTGACAAAATCCCTGGCCAATGCGACTTAAGGAAGGGTTTGTTTTAGCTCGGGGTTGGAGAGTACATTCCCCCGTAACAGCAGGAGCTTGAGGCCATCGTCACTTGCATCTACAGTAAAGAAGCAGCGAGACTGAAGGTGCTCAGCTCACTTTCTCTTTTTATCCAGTCCCCCAACCCATGGTGTCCTGCCACCTACAGTCAGGGTGGGTCTTCCTCCCTCAGTTAAACATCTCTAGAAACACCTTCCCAGACACACCTAGAAATGTGTCTCCCAGGTAATTCTCAAAGTGTCAATCAAAATTAGACATCACATCACCTGTTTTTCTACTGGGTTATTTGTCCTATTATTGCTTTAAGAGCTCTTTACATATGATGGTCACTTGTCCTGTGCTGGTCTCATGAAGTGGGTACCTTACTGCAACTAGTGGCCTCCTTTTTACTCTTTGGATGATGATTGTCGATGAAGCAAAGTGAATGTTATTGCAACCTGATGTTTCCAACTTGCCTACGGGATGACTGAGTCTTTTATGTGTTATTTAGTAAGGTACAACAGTGGGTACTACACAGTGAAAGGATATTTAAGTTCAAGGTTGCAATGTGGAGTAGCACAGTTCACAGACTGCCTGATTCTGGAGAAGTTGGGACGTTCGTGTCAGTCTGAATCTGGGATTCACTTTCCTTTTCTAGCTCCATTGGTTGACCACCTCCTTTCTGTCACGTACCGAAGTTCCCCGTATCCAGGTCTTTCTGGACTCTACTCTGTGCCCTTGGTCAGCAGGCACTAATGAGATTCACATCCATGTTCACACAGTATTTTCTGGTCACACAAAATGGTTTGAGATCAATTTTGCCTAAGTGTTAACAGCAAATTAAGAGGCTTAAGTTTTTATTTCATCTCCCAAGGATAAATGCTACCAGTACTGGCCAACAGAGGGCTCGGTGACGCACGGAGAGATAACTATTGAAATAAAGAGTGACACCCTGTCTGAAGCCATCAGTGTACGAGACTTCCTGGTCACCTTCAGTCAGGTACTGCTGCCTTGGTCACTGAAGACCATGTGGACCTCGGGAAGTGTCATTCGGGGATCTCTTTGTCATTGTGCCAGTTTGGGGCCCAGCACCTGTCACCTCTCCTGTTCCACCTTCTCCTGAGTCCCAGGGAACCACGAAAGGCCAGTGGAGTGTCCTATGGCAGTGAAACTGTCCTCTGAAATCCTGGCTTCTGTGGTCACCGGCCTCCTGCTAGGTAGAGGACCAGACCAGTGACAAGAAGTTTGGCTCACTGGGCTTTGCTGTCACCCACTGCCACTAGGGAGAGTGACCCTAGCCGGGGGCAGAAGGAGAAGGGAGATGGAGGAGGGTGCAGAGGCCTCCTGAGCTCTCTCTAGGGTTTTCTCACAACCTCTGGCTGCCTCTGCTCCCACTGGGCCTTGGGCTGTGCTCAACACTGACAAAGAGCAGGATGGTCACTCCAGGAAAACTGTGCTTGCACAAAGACTTGTGTTTCCCCCCTACCCCACCCCTCAGCCCCTGGGCCAGTAGCAGAGCTCCTGAGCTACAAAACTGACCTCCAACCTCTGATGAGGAACTCAGACTTAGGTATCTCAAGAAAGTGAAGATGAGTCCAATCCTTGAGCAGAGCCACCAAGGGACTCTGGAGGGCTGGGCAGAGCCCGATGGGGGTCAGAGCACGTCCTCTCCCTGCCTTGTAGAGGGAAGCACAGCCAAGTCCCAGCCAGGCCCCTCAGACCAACTAGGAGGAAACAGTAGCAGCCTTCCAAGGGAGAGGCAGGGTGCAGACTTCAAAACCCAGCAGGGTCCATGGAAGGCAGGTGAGGGTGTGGGGCCAGGCATCACTGAGACCCCTCTCCCATCCCGTCTTTAGCCCCTGGCCCGCCAGGAAGAGCAGGTCCGCACAGTACGTCAATTCCATTTCCACGGCTGGCCAGAGATCGGGATCCCAGCCGAGGGCAAGGGCATGATCGACCTCATTGCCGCTGTGCAGAAGCAGCAGCAGCAGACAGGCAACCACCCCATCACCGTGCACTGCAGGTGAGCCACCTCATCCTGTGGGGCTCCAGCGGGTGGCCAGGCAGGAAATGCCCCAGGAGGGTTAGCCACAGGGAGAGTGTCCGGCCCTCTGTGTTAAGCAGGGGCTCCGTGGATGGCAGGGTTAGGCGAGTGGGTGGAGATGTAGGCAGCTCCCCCAAAGGGAGAGCCACACGTGCAGGAAATGAAGCAGCTCTGCAGCTTAGCCGCCAGGGGGAAGAGAGCATGTAAGCCGCTGCTAGGCAGGACTTTGCAAGTGCGGCCAGCGACCGCTGCGGGCACAGGGCAGGGCTTTGCAAGTGTGGCCAGTGTGACTGCTGCAGGCACCGGGTGGCGTGAGCACATCGGTTTTCAGTATCTGGTGCCTTTTCAGGGGCCGTTGAGAATGATGTAGGAATGAGTCCTCTCTGCCTCCACTCTGCAACTGCGGGCAGGAGTTCACCATGCGTGGGGCACCAGGTAGCAGCCAAGGCGATGAGTCAAGACAGTAGGTTCAGAACCTCAGAATATGACCACACTTGCTTGAGATTCTGAGGGGTCCAAAGGCAGCCATGCTCCTGTAGAGGGCACTGGAGGATGCTGACCTATGTAGCCTCCTTAAACATCTCCCAGAGCTCTCCAGAGATGCCTGGCTCTGCCCTCTGGGCCTGCCCAGCTCATCAAACCTAGCACCATCTTCAGGGGAGTTCACTCTAGTCTGTATCCCAGGCAGTGAGCATCATCTGTCATCCTGAAATGTCCCCTTTTTCTGTCAATTCTCCTAAAGCCAGGCCTTGGCACAACAGGGAGAGGCTGTGTCGGGGTTCCTCCTCTCTGCCCCTGAAAGGGAAGCTTTGCATTTCTAACACACCCCAGGTGATCCTGAGCTGCTGGTTGGTCTGGGGACCACACTTTGGGGAACCACTACTTATAATCCTCTAAGTGTTCCCCCTGCATTTCAGGACCCGTCTGACTGCAGATCTTAGGAAAGTGGGGCGGGGGAGGGGGCTGGAATTCTGTTTGCTGTGTCTTGCTCAGTCTGTATATAAGAATAATCCTTTGGGCCTGGAAAGATAGCTCAGTGGTTAAGAGCACTGTATGCTCTTGCAGAACACCCAGGTTTGAATCCCAGCACCCACATGATGGCTAACAATCATCCATAACTCCAGTTCCAGGGGATCCAAGACCCTCTTCTGACCTCCACAGGCATTTGCATGACACAGGTGCACTTACACCCATGCAGGCATAACACTCATACACATAAGAAATGATTTTTAAACAGAGTGATTCTTCCAGCTGCAGTGAAGGGGAGATGCCCAGGTGGTGTGGTGCTTGCGGTACAAGCATGAGGCTCTGAGTTTGGCTCCCCAGCACCCACATAAAAAGCCAAGCGAGGCGGTGCACATCCGTAATTCCAATACTAGAGAGGTAGAGACGGATGGGTTCCTAGGGGCTCTCTGGCCAGCCAGCCTAACCAAAACAGTGAGCTTCCAGGTTCAGTGAGGGACGGTGACTCCAAAAACAAGTAGACAGCAATAGAGAAAGACAGAGGACATAGAGCTCTAGCCTGCTATGTGTGTGCGACACACACACACGCACGCACGCACAGATGCAGTTCGACTTGGTCCTTCGCAGTGACTGCTGTTGCAGTTCTGTTCTACCAGAACTACTGGTTGCAAGTACCCTGCCTCCCCCTACATGCTTGTTTGCCTTCACGGAGCATGTTCCCTCCACAGTGCGGGAGCTGGACGGACGGGTACGTTCATAGCCCTCAGCAACATTTTGGAACGAGTGAAAGCTGAGGGACTACTAGATGTGTTTCAAGCTGTGAAGAGCTTACGACTTCAGAGGCCACACATGGTGCAAACCTTGGTAAGAGTCTGAACAATTGAGATGTTCTGGAAGAGTGGAGATTTGGTCCGTGGAGTTAATGTCTGTTTCATAAAAGAAGTGCAGGTGGGAGAGGTGGGAGAGCTCTGTGCCCAAGGCAGCGAGCCCCAGTCCCCTACAGCCGTTCACAGTAAAGCTTTACGGAGACCTCCTTCCCAGCCTTGGGGGTAAGTCATGGGAGAAGAAATAAGAAGAGGGGCTCATGCAGGAATGTTATATCCATTTAAAACACTGTAACCAAGTTCCAAAGCTGCCCTGCAGTTCAAAGGCCTGACGTGCTGATGTCAGTGTTCTGCTATGGCATTTGGTCTGTTAGCCTTGGGAAAGTCTCACCACCCTCAAGGCTCTGGCCAGGGTCTTTAACACACTGTCCTGCAATCCTCTCTCATTACCTGATATGCCCTTCCTGGTGTGAGGGAGCAATTCCACACCAAATTTAGAAATGGCTCCTGATAAAGGAGCAGTATAATGTTCTTTTTAAAAATGTTTTTTTCTGCCGGACGTGGTGGTGCATGCCTTTAAGCCCAGCACTCAGGAGGCAGAGGCAGGTGGATTTCTGTGAGTTCAAGGCCAGCCTGGTCCACATAGTGAGTTCCAGGACAGCTGGGACTACAGAGAGACCCTGTCTCAAAAAGACCCTCCCAAAAGTTTTTTTTCTTTATTTATTCATAATTTTATGCATATGAGTGTTTTGCCTGCATGTGTGCATGTGCACCCATGTTGCACAATGCTGAATGCATATGGAGGTCAGAAGAGGGGTTTGGGGGTCCCTGGAACTGGAGTTACTGACAGTTATTAGCTGTCATGTGGGTGCTGGGAACTGAACACAGGTCCTCTGCAAGAGCAGGCAGCTCTTAACCACTGAGCCATCTCTCCAGCACTGAAATTACAATTTTATTTCTTTATATTTTTAATATTTTATTTATTATTTTTGTTTTGTGTGTATGAGTGTATTGCCTGCATGTATGTAAGTGTACCTGTTTCATGCAAGGTCAGAACAGGAGAACAGGGTGTTGGATCCCCTGGAACTGGAGTTACAAACAATTGTTAGCCACCATGTGGGTGCTAGGAATCGAACACAGGTCCTTTGCAAGAGAAGCCTATGCTCTTAACCACTGAGCCTTCTCTCTAGCCCCTGAAAGTACAATTTTAAAGGCTCTTCTTGTTCACATCATTTTCCCAGAGACCCCTAATTGGGACCCATCTCCACACTGACCCACTTCTAACAGGCCACCTGGTCCCTGTGCAACGCCAGAGGGATTCCTCCCGCTCCCCAGGACCTTTGCACAGCCCCAGAGCAAGCAGTCACCTGAGCTAGGGTTAGCTCTGACTTCCCACCAGGTGGTGCTCTGATCTCCACCTTGCTGAATATCACAGTCACCTAGGCACATGTGCCTGCCCCAGTAGACCAAGCTGTCCTGCAAACCAGCTAAGTGGCCCACATTGAAGAGGCCACAGACAATACTGGCTGGCTACCTCCACCTGTCACCTGGGTGCCAGTCCTTGTGAAGTTGAACCAAATTATATACAATAATGCAGTAATGGAAGTCTGAGGATGATGCTCAGTTGGTAGAGTGCTTACCTAGCATCCATGAATCCTTGAGGTCCACCCCTAACACCACATTAACTGGGTATGGTGGGTACTCATAGTCCCAGCACTCAGGAGATGGAGGCAGGAGTGTCAGAAGTCCAAGTCATCCTCAAGGGCAGCCTGGGCTACAAGAGTGAAAAAGAGCGAAGGATAATATAAAGGCCTTACGTGAACCTAAGGCATTTAGTCTTGTAAATTCTAATGGAATTCATATTGATATAAAATGTGTTGTTTTCATTTGTTTAACAGTTATAAATTAGGCAGTATGAACTTTATTTGATGTTAGCACTATGATTTTTTTTCCCCCACTTCAAAAATAGTTTTCAGTCAGGTGTGGTGGCACGTGTTTATAATTCCAACGCAAAGAGGTAGAGACAAGAGGATAAGGAGTTCAAGGCCATCCTCAGCTGTGGGAGGAATTTGGTCTAGGCTGAGCAACATCAAGCCCTGCCTCAAAACAGCTATTCTGGGCTAGGGAGATAGCTCAGTTGGTGAAGTGTTTGCCTTGCAAGCCCAAGGACTTGATTTGCATCCCCCAGAACCCACATTTTCAAAAAGGAAGAAAGAAAAAAAAGCGGGAAATGGTGGTACACACTTGTAACCCCAGAACCGAGAAGACAGGCGGATTCCCGGGGCTTGCTGGCTGGCCGGCCTAGCCTTCTGGGCAATTTCCAGGCCAGCGAGAGCCCCTGCCTCAAAAACCTGGTGGATGTACGAAGGAAGGGCATGTGTGTTTGGCCTCTGGCCTCCACACGCACATACACATAACTGTTTTCCAGTATAAATACAAAAACTAAAATAGACCGTGCTATACAGTCTATACACTATTTTGAAACAAATGGATATTTTCTATATAGAAAAATATCTTGATTTATGAATTTTTATGTGCCTAAAATCTCAATTATGTAACAGAAGCTGATGGGTGGGAAGGGGCCAAGTACTTTAATAAATCAGCAGACTGGATTACATTTCATGTTTCTTCTGGTTAAATTCATCAATATGCATGAAGCTTCATTTTAATACATTATTTTTTTTTCAGGAACAGTATGAATTCTGCTACAAAGTGGTACAAGATTTTATTGATATATTTTCTGATTATGCTAATTTCAAATGAAAATTCCTGCCTTAAAATATTTTTTAATTTAATGGTCAGTATATTTTGTAAAAAAAAAAGTTAATTTATTTCATAATGGACATTGATACCCCTCCTAACTCCTTTGTATATATTTTGTTATGCTTTAAAGGCCACCTGCTATAAGGTTATTAAATCTTAAATGCCCTTTTTAAAAATTGGAATAATGTCTTGAGGTCAGATAATATCTGAGAAGATATATATTTCTGCTAATATTGGTAAAAATCTTAATTTTTAATTCGATTCACATCATGTAATGTCATATGTCATGCATCTGTAAATGTGGTTCTTAACATGCCAAGTGTGTTTATGCAAGACACTAAACCAGAAGTCCCCGGTTGAGGAAGCGGGTGACGACTCAGCATCAAGGTGCGTCCGCTCTCCCGCAACCAACCTTAGCACCCGGGGCAGCAGGGTTTAGAAAGGAATGTACATAGGGACTTCGAGTTCTCAGCCATGCGGTTTCTCTTTATGCTTGGAAGATCAGAGAAAGAGCCGGGCATGGTGGTACATCCCTGTACTCCTAGCACTGGAGAGGCTGAGGCAGGAGGATTGCCTCCAGTTCTAGGCTAGCCCTTGGCTACACACTGAGATGCTGTCTCAAAAAAATTAAGTTTAATGAAGTCAGAGAAGATTTTCCAACCCGAATCTAGGTCTCAGTCCCATAAGGATAGATGGTAACTCTTCAGTGATATTTTGAAGGTTTATTAAAGGCTCTGTCTCTGCCGCTGCAGTTTGATGAGAGCATTTGTGCTGACACCTGGCTTTTCATTCCTTTGGGCCTGGGTGTCCCCAAACCAGGATCAAAGCTTTGTTCTGCAAGAACCGCTTGCTGTCCATCTGCTTGTGTGCCTGGCTCAGAATCCAACCAAGTACACTCCCAGGGCTGCCAGAGCTCACTTCAAGCCAGGCCTGCAAGCTCAGTGCAGAACTACTTCCCTCCCTCCAACACTGAAATGAAGTGTCTACATGCACACACACACACACACACACACACACACAGAGTAGGGGAGCACATGTGTAGAAATAGTAGGCTGGCCACAAACAGTTGTACTGTAAATTTCCCAAAAGGCATTTTGTTGTATAAAATTTTCTTGTAAAAAGCTAAGCTGGTTTGTAGGAAAAGAAATCTAAAAGTCTAGATTTGTACAGTTTTTAAATGTCCCACTCTTTGATGTTAACTTATAGAAAAGGTGAGAGAGGGGCAAAAAAAAGAGTCTCCTAATTTGAAGCCTAACTTATTGGAGGACGGAAATGCTGCTGAGGCCTCTGAGCCTGGGTGAGGACAGCACTGATAAGGAGGGTTGGCTCAGGGGAAGAAACGGAATGTAGAAGCATTGCTTTCAGTAAAGATTCTCCATGCCCGTTAGGTACCTAGCAAAGAGCACAATGCAGGGAAGAAGGCAGGGCCATGACTCACTAAAGCACTGAACATTTGCAGTTTTGGTACTCTATTCTGTTTTGAAAAGAGATATGAAAATATAAAGGCCTTATCTGACATTTCCATGGAGAACTGATCACGCCTTCCCATTGCACTGTTTGTCCCCGTTTGTTTATCGTGTGCACAGGGATGACCCCAGGGCTGGTCACGGCCTTCCACAGGTGAACAGGTCACCAAGCTTCTCTTCCACTTCATAGCTCTGAGTTCCATCCTGGGAAATCAGATAGGGCCCAGCATGGAGGGCAAAGCCAGGCAGTGGTTCCGTCAGCCATCACTATCAGCTGCCCCCGGGCCTGGATGCACCTGCTGAGTGGGCCTCCCCTTCTCTCTACAGTGGTAGAACTGTAAGGAGCTTATTGTGACTGGCCAGTGGTCCCTTGCGTTCCCAGGTTAAAACCCTGGGCCCAAAGCCTTTCTTTGACTGAAGCAGAAGAGTTCCACACCTGAAATCCAGTGGGATGAAGGTGACCTTACACTGGTCATTGATTTGAGTTCCACGTCAGTCAGGTCACGCACCTCACCTGCAGCTCAGTTGGTAGAACTCTTGAAGCCCTTTAATGCTCTACCGGGCATCTCTTGCATCAAGGGGTACCTTTAGAGTGGACTTTAAAGTACCATAGTTGTGAGCTTTTTCCTGACCTTGGGACTATCCCAGGGGCCCACTGCAGGAGTTTGGCCTGTTTTTAAACAACTTGTCCATTCCAGAGTCAAACAGACACACCCTCTCACCGACACAGTTTGAGGCGCACTCGTCCTTTGTCAGAGCCTGACCTCTAGCTTCCCATGTGGCTAATGCCGAGGCCAAGTTCAAACAGATTTCCCTGGGTCACAGAGCCACTTCATGCCAGGGGACTACTAAGAGGACCTTCGTCTTCTCTGTATACCTGTCATGCCCATCTCATCTTCCCTCAGTCAAAGAAAGTCCAGGGTCTGCCCACAAACGCCCAGCGCTGCAGTGACCGTCCTGTTCCTCTGTTGCATGCGGCTGTGTTCAAATGCCATATAGCAGTCAGAGCTAAGTGTTCTGATCGGGCGTGTCCCTCGGTCACTGTGTGACTTACTTTACTCTCTCTCCATGCCCTAGACGAATGACGCATACACACCTGTGTTTTCCAAGGTATTTTTTATGTGTTTTTAAAAAACTTCTTAAAATGAGCCTGATACCTGTGTTTCAGCGTTTGGAGACATGCCCGTGTTTGTTTGGGGTTTTTTTGGATGTATGTTTACTGATATATTTTCATTTGTTTAACTAAGCCATGTTTAATTTATGTGCAATCTTTATAATATATGGATGTGTTACAGTTCCAACCTCATGTTTTCTTTTATTACATTTACCATTTGATCTTGCTCTGATTATAATGCCAGTGAATGTTGCTGAATTCTTTGCATATGCAAACTGCAAGATCTAAAACATTCTGATGTAAGAATAAACCTTTATCTTGACTACCAGCCTGTGCCTGTAAGTTTCTCCACCTTTTTAAAAGCTCCGTTCTTGACAAAGCATGCATTAAGGGCTGGATATATCTCAAGTGGTAGAGTACTTAGCATGTGTGAGGCCCCAGATTACACCCGAGCACCAAAGACATGCATTAGTACCTGAGAACTGGTTCATATAGATCACTCACTTTAGGGCTTTCTTTTTAAGGAATGTGGGGGAGGGTGTTCATGAGTGTGGGTGCATGTGTGTGTGCAGATACATGCGGAGGCAAGGAGAAAACCTCAAGTGTCATCCTGAGACACACCATCTACCTCTTTTGAGAGAGGGTCTCTCACTGACTTGGAACTCACCAATTAGACGAGGCCTACACAAGTGTAACACTACACCGAGCGTTCTAGTGTGGGGTCTGGGGATGGTACTCAGTCCTCATGTTTGTAAGGGAAATACTTTACCTACTGATCTATCTCTCGAGCTCTGTTTGGGACTTTTAAAACTTATCTCTGACCTGGCCTGTAAACAGCCTCTGAGGGTGGGTGGGTACCCACCAGGGCAAGAGGACCACAGAGAGCGCAGCTGTTCTATGGAAGGCAAGTGTCATGCAAGAGGCACCGAACGGTGATTTGTTTTGCAGGAAGCTTGTATTCTGTCAATGTCTAGGGAGGAAATGATGTCCCAGGGCTTCCAAGGAAGGCGGCACCATGTTTCGATGCCCACGACCCGGTAGGATCAGAAAGTCTCCAAAAATATTTCTCTCCCCAAATCTGTTCTGTAACTGTTGGCTGTGCTGTAGTCCTACTGTGCCCCTTACACTTCTGATAACCCCGTGTGTCTTAATAACCTGTCCTCCCACTTCCCCTCTGTTATGCTTTGAGTGTGAACTGTCCACCCTGGGCTCCTTCCTGTGTTTGAACACTTGGTCCCCAGCTAATGGTGCTCTTTCAGAAGGTTGTGGAACCTTTAGGACAGCGCCTCACTGGGATTGGGCCTTGATGTTTTATGGCCCAGTCCGACTTTCTGACTATGGATGCGCTGTGACCAGTCAGCCTCCTGCCCCTGCCCCACTTGCTATGTATCCCCTCTGACCGTAAGTCTGAGCAAGCCCTTCCTCCCTTGAGCTGCTTCTTGTCAGCTGTTTTGTCACAACAATAAGAAAAGGAACTAACATACCTTCCCAGTCCCACCCCGCTTACCAGGCTTCTGGGCCTGACATGGAATTAAAGATCCTCTCCTGTTGTGTAAATTGAATACATTGGATAGGCCCTGCTATATTTGATGATTTGAAAACCTCTAAACAAACCTCATCAGCTGTGACGTCATGGCTGCTGGGGCCAGAGCTCTGTTCACTGCCTCTCCTTGTGAGTCTGTAGGATCGCAATTTTGTTTCCTAGTTGAATGGGGCCTCACTCTGCCCTGGATGTGGCCAAGGCCATTTCTCTGGGGTGAAGAGGCTGGTCACCAATTTTTCACTCACCAGGAGCAGATAGACCTGACCAGTACACCCTGTTAGCTCCAAAAGGCACTGAGGGTCTAGAGACAATCACCAGCCAGAGGTCCTGTGGGACAAGAGGACAAACTCAGTGTTCACAGTGGAAGAGGGTCTGGTGGCGCATGCCTTTAATCCCAGCACTCAGGAGGCAGAGGCAGGCGGATCTCTGTGAGTTCAAGGCCAGCCTGGTCTACATATAGGAAGACCCTGTTTCAAAAAAACCAATAAAAGGCTGGGCATGGTGGCACATGCCTTTAATCCCAGCACTTGGGAGACAGAGGCAGGCATCTAGATCTCTTGTGAGTTCAAGGCCAGCCTGATCGGCAAAGCACGTTCCAGGCCAGCTGGGGCTGCAGGGAGACCCTGTCTCAAAAAGACCGAAAAAAGGGTGAATTATATGGCCCTTCAGTTTCTGTACTGAGCCCTAACCCTGGGACCTCAGAATGCACCCACATCTGGAGATAATGTTGCCACATATGTTGCCGGTAGAGATGAAGCCAGGCTGGCCTTCCACTGTTTTCTTGTGAAAAGGGGAACTTGGATACAGAGAGGCACAGAGAGGAAACAGTCCGTGAAGATGAAGGCAAGAGCCCAGGTGCATTAACACATACAGGATGATAGTGTGTCTTCCCTGTAAGATGCCTAAGGGGCCTCCTGATTGGCAAAGGGGTCCTCCTGGTTGATAAAGGGGTCTTCCTGATTGAGAAAGGGGTCCTCCTGGTTGGCAAAGGGGTCCTCCTGATTGGCAAAGGGGTCCTCCTGATTGATAAAGGGGTCCTCCTGGTTGGCAAAGGGGTCCTCCTGGTTGATAAAGGGGTCCTCCTGGTTGATAAAGGGGTCTTCCTGATTGAGAAAGGGGTCCTCCTGGTTGGCAAAGGGGTCTTCCTGATTGGCAAAGGGGTCCTCCTGATTGATAAAGGGGTCCTCCTGATTGGCAAAGGGGTCCTCCTGACTGATAAAGGGGCTCAGGAAACAAAACAAGTATCTAAAGGTGACAGTCATAACAGTGGATGTAATTAAGAGAAAAGAAAACCAAAGTGAAATTTGTGATGCTTAATACTTAAAAAAGCAGAGTTAATGTTATTTGTTCGGCTCTTTGGAAATGCATGATTTACAAATTTTATTGCATCACCTTGCTCTCCAGGAGTTAGTGACGCATTTTCAAACACAAATAAATGGCCATTTTGCATAGTGTTTGCCATGAAAGGAAATCATTTATTCTCATTACTGGTGATGAACCCTGGTCTTTTTCTGCAAATTTTAAGAGTTATTGAGTGGAAAGTTGTTTTTTTAAAAATAGGAAACAAAGACAAAATCTGAAAGGACACACAGCAGGAAGCCCTGAAATCAGGCTACCCACACTACTACGAAAGAATCCCCCACCCCGGGGCTCAAGAGTCCAACTAATCCAAGCTGTGCCTGCATGAAGACTCGAGTTCAATCCCCAGAACACACATATAAAAGGTGGGTGCAAGGGGCTAGAGGGATGGCTCAATGGGTGAGTGTGTCTTGCCCTAGGAGACTCCTTTTCACAAGAAGCTTTCAATTTCATTTTGAGGGAGGATGACTGTGGTCCTTGGGTGGACCCAGAAACTGCATCATCTGTCAGGCACAACCCATCCAGCACAGACTGACAAATGACCTATTCCTGAGGGTAGGAGAGCCAGCCTATGCCTTTATTGGGAAGAATTGGAACTGTGGAGGCACATAACACATTAGAGCATTAGGGAAACCAAGCCACAAACTATGGGACACATCAATTCCCTTGTCTAGACCCCATAAGGTGATGGACACCGAACACTGGAACGACACAACCCCACAGCAACCTCATATGACACCTGGGTGTGTCAAGGACCAAGGACTCCACGGTTCTGCTTGGTCCTCCACTATTGGCACAGCCTAGTCAACTGCCTGCTCATCCACCTGTTCATCCATGTGGGCCTGATCTGACCTGCTGTTTCCTGCTCCTGCCCTATCTCCTGCTCAGGACCGTTAGACCTTTCACTTCCCAACTGAACTCTGCACTTTAGCTCTCAAACCTGACTCCAGCAGCTCCCTCCTGGCTCTCTTCTGGTTCATTATCAGTATAGATTTTCTCAGCCGACTTCTAAAATTTCTTGAACTCAAGCCGGGTATGGTGGTGCCTTTAATCCCAGCACTCTGGAAGGCAGAATCAGGTCTACATAGTGAGTTCCAGGCCAGCCGGGGCTATAGGGAGACCTTGTCTCAAAAAAGACAAAAAATAAATAAAATGAACAAATAAAAAATAAAACCTCCTGAGCACTCCTGCAGAGGCTTTAACTTGTATTCATTCTGTAACACATAAAACTATATAGACACAGAGACGTATTAACTGTGTGCTGTGCGATATGAGAGTATTAGTCATTAAGATGGGAATAAAAGAATTTGCTTTTGCCTGGGCCAGGCTACCAAGGGAGGTAGGATTATATAACAAATTGTTATCGTTGAAACCTCTACACTTTTGAATTTATTGTTGTTCAGTAATGACATTGTGGAAAGACACAAGCTTGTCTGTCAGAGTGTGCTCGGGACTCACCGTTGGCTTGTGACCTCTCATGTCACAGGGACTGATGATTTTATCAGGGATTGTCCTGTGACCATCATCCTCTGTTTCTCTAGGTCAAAGACCATTGGAGTGCATGCTGTCGCCCTCGCACTCTGAAACATGGTCTCATAGGCCCAAACATGGACTCTCTGGTCCTTTATAGAACTTTGCTGATGGCTGGTACATGTTAAAACCCATGAAACCCTTTCTTTTGGATGACCATTACCTCCCAATACCTAGGTCTTGCCAGAGGCCCAAATAGGCCATTCCAGCCTGGCCTGCGGGTGAAGGCCTGATCAGCAAAGCTCTGTGGCTCAAGGCCAGTTGAAGACATACTCTGATGTCAGATTCCAGCTTCTACCCACATGCACTTACTTCTCATTTTCTTTTTTAAAATTTTTTTTGCTTTATTTTTATGTGTGTGCATGTACGTGAGCATACCCATGTCCTGCAATGCTCGAGGATAAAAGAGGATATCGGACCCCCTGGAACTAGAGTTATGGCTGGTTGTTAGCTGCCATGTGGGTGCTGGGATTCGAACCCAGGTCCTCTGCAAGGACAGCCAGTGTTCTTAACCGCTGAGCCATGTCTCCAGCCCTCTGTTTTTCTTTTATCCCGCAGAGACCACATTCAGTTTGGGAACCCTGGGGCCCAGATCTTAATTAAACACTGCCTTGTTACACTGCTCCTAGTCCTGGGAGTTTCCTTGTTTGACTGTATGTGGGACCGTTTGCTGAAGGCTTCATTCAGTGCCCCAGATCATCCTCCCATCATGTCCATGGAAGAATCCCTCAGGACGCAGCTTATGACAGGGGAAGACCTTGGGGCTACAGGTCTTCTGAAGATGATAGCTTGACTCCAGTTGGCTAAGCTCAGGCCAAAAGCTATGTGCTGTACCTCCATGGAAGAATCCCTCGGGACGCAGCTTATGACGGGAAGACCTTGGGGCTACAGGTCTTCTGAAGATGATAGTTAGCTTGACTCCAGTTGGCTAAGCTCAGGCCAAAAGCTATGTGCTGTGTTCTCAATTAACCCTCCCCACTGCCCTTGAACTGGGCCACTAAGTGCCTCATTCTGCAGATAGGAAAACGTCCTGCCAAAGTGAAGACTTGTCCAAAGTTGCACTGCAACAAAGCAGATCGGCCAGGGTTACACATTATGAAATGAAACCATTTTTGGCCAAGTGGCTGAAAGCTGCATTTGAGGTGTGGATGCCTACGGGATGCCACAAACTCAGAGAACCACCCTCCCTTCTTCCCTTCCTCAGCAGCTCAGGATAGTGAAGGACCGTGGGTGTGTCCACACCTGAGCCTTTCCCTGGCCCTGGAGGAGGGCCTCCTTTCAAGGACAATTAACCTCCACACAGAATCCACCCATGGATCTGTCTGCAACTCTCTCTCTCATGATGGAGGGAAATCAGGGACGCCTTGGATAAGGGGTGTTTCAACTGCCACACCTGGCTGTCCTGAGCCAAATCCCCGTGCCTCATCGAGCCCCCTCTCCACTAAGGAATCAGCCGGGTCTGGGGTTACAGGTGGTTTCCTTTGGGAAGTGCTGAGGGGCACGCGCGAACCAGAAGTGACCACAGTGAGGTACCATTCAAGAGTAACTGTCCGGAGGCGCCAGAAATGCAACTGCGAAGACGGATCCTGATGCTGTCACAGGGACAGCTCTGCCCGTCCATCAATCCATTTGCAGTTTTCTTTTCTCTGGTCTCTGTAAAAAAGCACCATGGGCTTTGGGACCATTTCCCCAAACTGTTATGGGTGCAGAGACAGGGTCTCCTAATGAACTTGTTTTGGCTACACCGGCTGGCCAGCAAGTTCCAGGGATCCACCTGTCCCCATCCCCCAGCACTGGGGTTACAGGCCTGCATCAAGGTGCCCAACTTTATTGTGGGTTCTAGGGATCTGAACTCAGGTCTTTTTGCCTACACAGCTGGTACTCAACCCACTGAGTCCCAGTCCCCTAAACAAACCTTTCCAATCCAGCACCTACGGCTCTAAGATGGAAACCACTCTTAATGAGGCTCTTAAAATACTAGTCACCTGGGTGGGAAAACGAGCCGATACAGTTCTGCGAGGTTTTCTGTAACTGAACACTAGGATCTTTCATTCACCACAATGTTCCAGTCCCCAGGCATACAGCTGACTAAAATTTTCCCACACATGACATATCTAATTAAATATTAGAACCCATAGAGTGTTCCCGTTACTTCAAATTTGACTTTAACGTTTAGTCAATCAAGGATGCATTCATGCCTCAAACCGCCCAATAAAGCAAAAGCAGCTCTTCCTTCCTGTGTCTGATGTTCCGCACGATCCCACCTGTGCCAGCCCAACCGTCGCCTGCCCTATGGGCTTCTCGGCCGTTCCCTCCCTGCCTTCTTTTCACCCCCTTCAGGCATAACCTGTTGCCATTCCTCCTGACCACAGACTTGCTGTGGCACACCGTGGTTAAAGTAACTCCCAGGGACTCACGTAAAATGCCAGATTCCTAACTTTGCTCATATAGGGTCTCATATTGTACGAGGCTGCACACCAGACACAGGGAATGCAGACGTTGACAGATGGGGCCCCTGGCTGACCACAGCGCACTCTAGGGGGCAGACACCTTGTCCATCACCTCAGCAGGCAAGGGCAACCCAATAGAACAGGATGTCAGAGGCGCCTGGGAAAATGTACTACACAAAAAAGGACTAGAGACGAGGTGGGAAACAGGAAAGTTGTATATGCAACAGACAGGGTATGACTGTGGGTCTGGAACTGAAACGAGTCTAAGTTTAAAAAGAGACCACGGAGACCGTGGCCTGCAAGTAAGTAGCAGGGCAGCTGTGGGCAAGAAGCCCAGGCTGTTGAGGCAGCTGTGGCTAAGAACCCCAGGCTGTCAGATGGCAGCTTCTGTTCTGGAAAGATCTGTGTCATTTCTTCTACCAGATGTCAGGCAGGTAGTCAGAAAAAGCACATGACAAAAGAAGTCAGGATAGGGATCACAGCTTTGACTAGAGCAGCTGACGGCAATGGTTTTGTGGGCAAGGCCATCAGTGTGTTCAGTGCAGACTCTTAATGAACAGGCAGGCACCAGGCACTCCCTAACAGCAAGCCGTGACTCTGAAGATGGGCTCAGCTAACCAGTCCTTTAAGGCACAGCTATCCTGAATTAAAGTTCAAGGACCCAAAGGGCGAGGCAGATTTGTACAGGTGACCAATAGACTATGAACCAGATGCTCCACTGTGCAGCTGTGCTGTGTAAACTGGTCTAACCATACAATTAGTGTCTACAGAGAATCTGAACAATGTAGACGAAGGGCAGACCCACCTCCCTTTCCCACTGTGCGGGAACAGGCTGAAGACAGGTACACAGATGATGATTGCAGAGGCCAGTGGAGCACACAGAGGCCGTGAACTTCAGGGTTTTATTGCGCAATAGGGAGGCCACCCTTGCACCCGCCCACCCCCAAACTTTCAAATTGTTATTCCTGAGATTCTTGGTAACCCCCTTATGATCTCCACATGGACTTTTAAGGACAATATAGCCAGGAAAAGTCAAGTTTAAACACAGACAACATTATTTACATAATTCATTTTACACATTGACGGTAAAAATTATACTAGAGTTTATCACTAAACTATTTGTCCCCTTCTTAAGTGCCTACTAAATATCTTCACTGTCCCGGCAACTTCTTGTTCTTAACTTCTTGGTGTATACAATGTCTTTATCCTGTTTGGGAAGAAAAACACAACTCTTAAATAAAGTGAAGGAAAAGTTTTTGTGATCAACTTTACTCTGCAAATTTCTGATG